TTCAGAAATTCCCTTGACGTGTGTGAAATCACAAACGTGTTCTGACTCGACTACGCAAAGCATCGTAGGGCTCGTCAATGGAATATCTTTGGTTTCCAAAGCCTGTTCTGAAAGGCTGCATCAAAGCAGACATCTTTTCTCAAATTCACGACTAAGATATGACATTATTTTAATCTAACGATAATCGCGAATGTTTGTTTAAAGAAATAACATTCAGCGAAGAAATGTGAAGTGGAGTGACGTTTCATTCCGGACTGAAGGAAGTGCGAAACCCTCGGATGAAAACGACCGCCTACCTATTGGAGCGTTTATTCGCCGGTTTGCTGCCATCCTTCAAAATTATCACAACTGCCTGACACTTCATGATACTTTGATATTCCAATGTGGGCTGTGTGGGTTTCGCCGTTATGACGAGCAGTGTAATGTGAATCGATTTGTGAAAGATTCATTCCCACGCGGCGATGCACTACTGGCCAATATTCTGAAGGCGATGAGCAGTCCTGCCATTGGATTCAGCGTCAGACAGCCAGACAGATGAATTGTTTGCCGAGCGTTTCCAAGGTCTCAATTCCTGTTTCATGTCCTCGGCTTGTCCCGTTTTGCCTCCGGCGTAGAATTTGCACGAGTCCGAGCCACGCCTCGGAAGCAGGCCGAACCTGCTTGTTTCCTTTTCATGATGCTCATTTTCGTCCTTTTTTACGTCTCGAAATAATAACGCTGTGCCGAGATTTTAAGCGAGACATTTTACTGCGAATTGACTTGCTGGTACAATACAACCAAGAAAATCGGCGAAAATCCAAGGAATCTCCCAATAGCTCGGAAAACAATTCAAATTGAAAGACAGGATTGCGGAACTTCTTCATGGACTGATCTTATCAAACTGGAACTGAGTTCGAGGTGGGCCACTGGTTTTTAGGTTGTGAAGTTACGCATCAAGTATTGTACATACAGTATTATGGTTTATCTTTGTCAACAAAAACTGGATTTGTGTCATTCCCTGAATGCATTAAATTTGTTTCTCTCCGGAACTTAGTTTTGAAAGAATTAATTGATCTAAATCCGAAAAATCCTCCTGTAATTATTTTTTAAAGATTAAATGTGTGAAGTATGAGGAGACTAAACAGCAGGGCACACCGAAAAAGCCGGTTTTGTATTGCTGGAATATTGATCTTGGTCGACCGGTTCGTCACTTGCAAGCATGGCATCGATCTTAGTTAAGCTTGTGAGTGGAATTTCCACTTGAATGTAGGTACGTATTTGCAGTCGGATTATCACACAAAATATGGCATTATGGGATTTTATTGGAAAATTCGAAATACTGTAGCCTGAACAAATTTTTCTCTGATTCCGGCGCCGGCCGTCGAGCATCGTATATTCTATGATGGATTATTCTTCTATATGTGAAGGTGATTTCAGTGATTGATGCTGCCAATTGTTGAATGTACCATTAAGACCACGCTCCATCTAAAAGATAGATTTGAGCTGCGTAACGTGGAGATCGGGTTGCTGAAGAAGCACGTCGCGGCTGGTCATAACGAGTATTTATTCCGTCTCAGGGAAGCCTCGGGGCAAATTCCTTATCCTTGAACTTCCCCTGAGGATCAGTCCGTGTTTCTCGGGTAGGGATGAGGAATACATCTGAAATAAAAGAGATGAATGAAAGCTTCAATTGCTGTAGAAGAGAGGAATATACTTTGCGACTCATTAATCACTGGCGTTAAGTTACAGTCATTAATCAATGGCACGACATAGAATTCGCGATAATTGTACGATTCTTCTTAGCTTTTTTTTTTGTTAACCTTTTAGATCAACGCAATCTCGGCTATTACATTCGAAGGATTAACTGTTCCAGGATACAATTTCGATTATTTACATTCACGCTTTAGAATGCATTTTTCGCTGGCCTTGAAGAATTTCCAAGTTACCGAAGTTGATTTGCATGAATAAATTTCAGCTACCTGAGATGGAAGAATTACGCGAAATGTGCTGCATTTTTCGAAATCGTGTGCAACTGTCTGATCATGCGAATAATTTGCTGAATTCTTTCCCTTCCCAAATGTCACTCTTGACTTCATGTTGGGGGTTTGAACGGAAATGCCAGAAACGCTCGCGCTACGCGTTCTGCGGAATATATTCTGATGCTTGTGCTTCGTGGGGTTTGATTGAGGAATGGTAAGGTTTCTGACGATTCCAGAAGCATTGATGTGCCGGATTTACTCGAGTACCACGCGCACCTTTTTTTCTCAAAATTAAGAGGGGGGAAAACTGGGTGCACGTCATCGGCGGGTATACATTTTCCAAAAAGTATAGGCGCATATTATACTTGATTCCAATGGCAAATGTTGGACCAGCCTCATCAGAAACAGGACGTGGATCTTCAAAATTCAGTGCAGATTTTCTTGATTTTTTACGAGTATAAATTTTTTAGTTTGTTTGGAGAATCTGTTTCACTTTGAACTCATTTAATTTCACCCACAAACTCGGCTTCTGGGTTATTTTCAAAGCTTGGATAATTATGTGATTCGGTACTACTGTATTAGTAATAAGGAAGAAATCCCCTGCGCACCAAAAGGGCATCTTCTGAAAAAAATTGAATCGTTCGCCAACCGTACTCTACTCTTAGGTGCTTCAGATTTAATCAATGTTTCTACTCATGGAAATAAAGAGAGTAAATCAACTGAAAAATGATATTGTAACTTAATAATAGAAAATGAAAGACTACTGTTGAGAGATGCAGAAGGCTCGTTAACTGAAAAAGCATGACTCACGAAAATAAGACGAGGACCGCTTTTTTCGTTACTCGAGTTGAGGTAGGCATCATGTAAATCATACACTCAAACCGAGAGAGACCGCCATCGATTTTTGAAGGGCTCTGGGAGTCGAAAAAGGTTGTGAAATTATGCCACAGAGAGCTTCATGATTTACTTTGTTGTCAGTTCAAATCCATTTAGATTTACTGATTTTATTGATACGTTCTATAGCTTCAAAATTGTGGTTGCGCAGAACTGTCTGTAAATTATCAAGATTGATGGGTTGTCCATCTTCGGCATCTAGGTTTTTCGTCACATGAACTTCAAAATCGATGAAACTTGTAAATCTGTATGGATTATTTATTTTTCTTCTCGTGAAAATTATCGCGGGGCGTTTTCATTTTCCAGCTTTTATTTTTTGGGATACGGTATGAAAATATATGTCTCTTCAGCATCGTAACATCTCATGTGAAATCTTATTTTTGTGACAGCGGAAATTTATGTGATCCTGATTGCACGTTCATTAGCATTCGCTGCGTCTCATTTCTATGCAATTGTGCCACGGGAACTACAGCTATGTCGATTAAAAATTATGCATTATTTACGGTTTCTTGCAGAGGAGCTAGGTGCTTATTTCCTTTTGTGAACCAGACCACATTTGCCGCACAGTATTATTTTTTTTAATTGTAATTTTTTTCATTCTGGCATACTCCGCATTTGATCGGTAGTTCTGCGCGAATTCAGCGAACTGTTATATATAAAATTGACGAAATAAAAGAGTCCAATCTCAGCGTTTTATGTAAAACGAAAACGGGTGTCAACGAAATACTAGAGTATTTTACTTAGTACTAAAAATTAAGCTCTCGGAATAAAAAAAATACTCGTAATGGAACTGCTTGTATGCCATGTGTGCTAGGTCTTGAAGAAAGATATAAATGGAGAATGGGGATCTCATGTCCATTGATAATTTTGATTTACTTTTTTGGTCCTTCGTTAGCGCGTTTCAATTGTGACGATCGCATCGGCGCCGACTGTTTTAGCCACGGTTGTTCGTGTCGGCGGTTTTTAGATTCATTTCGTCGAGTAACATCTTTCTTATGATGCCTGACTAATTTTCCTTTCATCTCTTTTTTTTTCCACAGCTGCACCACAATGTCTTCCGTCGCAAGCTCATTGTCAGACTTACACTTGGAATAGCACATACTGCTACCACAAGTTCCAGCGGTGTGATAAAGTTCAGGTGACGCTCCTGCCGAGACTGCTTCGTCTAACGACACTCATGGTTGTTAAGGAGTATGTCTAGTATAGAACTTGTCGTTATTTACCTATACTCTAAGCGACCATTGTCTTATATATATCGACATGTTAGAAGGAAATCCTTCCTGATACAGTCACGTGCATGAAAATCCTGTGTTATTTCCTCCATGTTATTTCCTTTGGTCGCCAATTTTCCGGAAATTTTTATTTTGAGCTTTTTTGCTTCAACAAATAAGATTGAAGAAGTAGTTTTTTTTAAACCTCCAGATGTGTTTACCCAATTCTCAATATTTTCTCCAATTGTTGGACGAGGTATAATTTTTTTATTTCTCGACATACCCGTGCAAATTTGTTTATATATTTTGACTTTTCAAACGCAACAATTGCAAAGTGAGGAGTTGAGCGGTATGAAGATTTTTTTTCCACACTGATTCTAGTGTCTTGTTTATTTCCTCCATGTTATTATGCAAAAATGCATAAAATGGCCCAAACCTTGTGTCAATACGAACAGTCAGATTGTCCAAGAGTTGTTTTGTGCATCTGTGCATTCAAAACCTTGCTCTCAAAAGCCCTTGCAAAATTACCCCGTTTGAAATCATGCAAAAACTTGCTGTTTTGTATATTTTTGAGTTTTGTGAATTGTCAAATTTTTGATTGTGTACAACACAATTGCATTTATCTTTGGCAGGTTGCGCACCTGCCGATTAGTTTTTATAATTAATTTTCCATCTCTCTTGAAATCTCAAAATAAAACCAATTAAAAAACCCAGACTTCACACTCTGCTGAAAATCTGAATAAGTAATTTTCTCATTCCTTGTTGGGATATAATTTGTTCAAGCAGCAATACTGTCCCATCAGTCGCATACTAATTTATTAGCAGAATAAAGTATGCAGATTAGAGCGCGTGAAGCTGCATTGACTATTAACTTATAAATAAAAGAAAGCAACAGTGACGTTTCAGAGTCAGCATAAATTTAGTCTCCATAATTAGCATGGAAGAGTTGAATGCGGAACTGTTGATGTGCAGTGAGGAAGAGTACGAAATAATCGCGCAATTTACAATGCACGCTCCTTTGCGCGTGACAAATGTATGCACTTATTCAACTCTCGCACTGCCGCACCCATTATCCGAGTCCCTGAAGAGTGATTGTTTTGAATACTATTGATATGCATACTTCCGAACTTAGATTAACCCTCTGCTATTTGCACGTGTTCCGCGACAGACTCCAACGGAGTTTTCCCCTCTTGATGACGTGTCGCTCTTCTTTTATTTCAATTTAAAGTGTACCGGATATGTCAGCCGGAAGATGTAATCTGTGGCTCCGGACTCTGTGTGCCGGCGGAAAAGCGCTGTGACCGACACTACGACTGTCGGGACAAGAAGGACGAGGAGGACTGTAATGGCGCCATCGCGTGTCACCTCAACGAGTTCGCTTGCGCCGATCACTCCAAGTGCTTGGACGAATCCAAGAAGTGTAATCATGACTACGACTGCCCCGACCAGAGTGACGAGAAGGATTGTAGTAAGTATTTTTCTCCACTTTCAGCTTGTAAACCATGTGTTTTCGACCGGTGGGACTTGTGCCTGTGTTGTATGGTGGCACATTTGCCAGACAGACGGGTCGCTGGATTTTCCATGGAACGAATTCAAATTTATGGTATTGCACTTCGAATCCGATGTACTCAGACGTACCTTAGAAAAATTCTTCCAAGCCTTGGGTTGAGTGAATGATTTTTTTGAGCATACAGGATAGCTATTACGCAAAGTAAAATAAAGCTGAAAGAGGTCCTAAACTCAAAAAATTGCTGTAAATAGTTCTGGTATAAACCAGGAATTTTCAAGCATTTTCAGGACTGAAAAATATTAAGATGGAGTTGCGTAAATGCACGACCCTTGCACCCTCCGCACGTATAAATAAAACCTGAGCGAGACCTGCTTGGAAGTAAATTTGTTTCAAATGGAGGAGAATATTCAAGTCCAGGGTTATTACTTCGTACATATATCGTTGGGTAGACCTATAAGAAAAGTTTCCTTAGAAATTGAGTGTAAAAACTCTTCCGCGAGTCTGACAGATAGACATCATCTGAGCTAGAAGCTGATTACGAGTGCACGTCAGCCAGTACTCCCTTGGGCGCTGAAACTGAAAAGTATCGGCTCATCATGCTTATCTTATACCTTCTCTCATTGACGCACGAGATATTTTCCGGGATCACTTTTATTTTTCCCGAAAGCAACTTTTTTTTTATGATTTTCGGTTTCATCGTTTTTCTGATATTCAATTTCATAAGAGATTTAGTTTCTCATTCGTTTTCTTGAAAGGCGGAGCGCTCGCTTAAACATAATGTGAAGCTGTGAGTATGATGCTCTTCCTACTGGAAAAGTGCCTTGCCCCGCGTGTTCATTGTATTCAGAAATATTTAATGAATTCATTTCCGTGAGAACTTCGCCAAAATAGGTCGAAAATGACGTTATTTCCGCCGGGGGACAATCGGTGGAACCGACGCGGGAACGCGAAAGCAGTTCTTTCGCTCGTTAAGGCACAATGCCATTTTGCTGGTCCTCTGAGAGCTTTCCTTCCGGGTCGTTGATGATTTGCCCGACCATTTCCCTAATCCCGTGATTAATTTTGCGTCGAAGCGTTTAGCTCGTTCTACTTTCTACCGTTTTCAATTCTTGGAATCCCGAAGTCGAATTTTCTTTCATGTGCTGCGAAAATTTTCAAGTTGTTCTAATACTTCATGGACTTCTTCATTCTTGTGTGAGACGCACGTGTCGACATTCGAACTTAGATCTCGTCGATATTTTCAAGCCTGTACAATTCTGTCGAAAAGTTCAAGTTCGTTTTTTGGCGTACGAATGCTAATGTCGAGGATGAATTGCTATTGAGAATGCGATGTTAGATAGAAACCGGGAAGTGTGTTTAGTAGTTTTCGCGAAAATGAGACGCCTTTGATCTAAAGAGACACCTGCGTTTTCAGCACATTTACAATGTTTACGACTGAACTAATTACCGTAGTTCAGGACTCGGTTTCGTACCTTCTTGCGAATGACTGAGCAGTTTTTGACCTTTCCAGCAAAATTATTAATTGAACGACATTTTTAAGTGGGTGAAATTTTCCCGTTAGACACTGACTTTTTGCTGCGATAGGCATGGCTATTCTGTATGGAAAGATGATCTATTGAGTGTTGATCCGCAGACTTTTGCTTCATGATTGCTGTAGCATCGACAGTCAAGATATTATCTCATTACAAAGCAGTGACCCACTTTTTGGTTCATTTCTAAAACTGTGATGCAAATTTCCCTGTGAATTCGAGACGCCGTTAAATTGTGAAACCATCGAAAGTTAGACGTCGGCAAATTGTAAACGTTATCCATGATAAGGCGCCATCGATTCCAAGACTAGCCCCGTGTTTAACCCCGATTTGTTTTCGTTCAAAAAGTGCTTTCTACATTTGAATGAATATTTCAAGTATTGATGACAAATCCGTCTGCTCCCCGGAAGAAAATTATCTCGATAATTTCATTCGCGTCATTTACTCTGTCAGATCATCCATAACATAGTCAAGTACGAGGTTTGGTTCATAAGTTTTGAGTTTCAACAATTCCGAATTTTTTTTTCCACTCACGTTGCCCCATCGTTCGGCAAAACGTCAGTGGTCTTCAACGTACATTCAGCCAATTCCACTATTTCATGCGATAAATCTAATCAAGACAGTGCCGAAAATCGAGTTCCGCTAGTTTATTAAGCTGCTCTTCGACGGCGGAAATGAGGCTGTCCCTGTCCTCAAAATCAATCCCTTCCAGGTTTTTCTTCACTGTGGGGAACAGCCGGAAGTCACAGGGTGCCGAATCAAATAACGATCTAAAATTCTAAATAAGTATGCGTAGTCAAAAGGACATGCGACTATTTTTTTTGTGCGGTTGGAATAGTTGAAACTTGGTTGGATCTGCAGTATTTCAAAAAGTCTCAAACCTTATGAACCAACCCTCGTATGTTTGTTAGTGACATCCGTTTTATTCGAGGATTCCACGGATCGAATGATGTACGTTATACGCGATATGCGTTGTTCTTTTCCCGCACTGGTCCGAGTAAGCTCACCAACTTACTGCTTGAGAATGCCAAGCGGGGATTTTCAAGATTGATGGAAGCCATGTTGAAGATTGCACTGCCGTTGGGTTCTTCATGAGCAAACGCAGCGTGAATACGCAAGAAAGAGAGTCGAGAATGCGTTCGTGTTTGGTGAGGGATGGGGGAGAGATCGCGAACAGGACGGAACGCGGATGTTGCTCCGTGCTTTGTAGTACCAGTCTCGGTACAGTACTGGTGGCACAGAACACAGGTGCTCTCCGTGCTACGGTAAATAGTAAAGGTAATCCGTACTGCAACGTTTTCTTTTTGCTCGTTTTCTTCTCTCGTTTTCTTTTTGCTCGTTTTCTTCTCTCGTTTTCTTTTTGCGTTCACAGAGCTGCGTTCAGGTGATGGCGGTTATAAAACGTGACCTCGTGTGTCGTTGATGGTCGTTCTCGATTCAAAGATATAATTTAAATGTTGCTAACATAGCAAATTTTATACGAGGTAGGAGGACTGAAAGCCGGTAACGAGTCAATTCATGACTAAATACCCAAAGACTAGGCTACCCCTTAGGGGCCTAACTTAAATTTCTCCTTTGTTTTTTTAAAAACGATTTGAAACGAAGATCCATTTTCATCACAGTGCGGGATTGATCGTTTACTCTTGGAAGTCAAACGCTAAATTAGCACAACTGTGTTTAAAGCAAGCATGATGTTCTTCTATAAAGAGCTGAAAGCTTGAGTTGAAATTAAATACCTCTCTGATCAACTTTAAATCATATAATCAGGCTTCGGAATACGCATGATCCAAATTTTCAATTTATATGATTTGGCTATTTTCCGTTTTCCATCTCTTGAATTGCTTATACGCCTATAGTTCGCTTACGGATTTGGACTTGTTTTGATTCTATTAGGAATGGGTAATTTCTGTTATATCGCATTCACAATTTTGGTGTGACAAACTACGCGCCGTTCTTCAGTGTGCTCTCAGCAGCTGAAGAAAAATAGAACCACGAGTTTGGTTGTATATCTATGTCAGTTCCTTTAATTTGTCATGTGCGTCGTGAGCGTGCGAGATGATTGAATAAATTTTGAGACATTATTTTGGCTAATTAAATGAAAAAAAGTAGTATACAGTATGAGTTTCTCTGACCGTATCCTCGTAAGAACATGCAGCATCAACTCATCAGGAGCCGAGATCCTTGCAGCATGCGTCATCAACTAGACTTCATGACCCCATTACTCTTGGATACATTTTTCCCATCTTGATTTGTTCATGACATTAACCAACCTGTGTTGTGGATTTGAAGAAGTTACAGTACTGTATAAGTAGAGAATAGATTACTGTATAGGTCTGCGTAATGTTCTAAGTTTTATGAAACGATTGTATCGTTTAAAATATGCTCCATCCTCCTGACTTTCGGCCATTGCTCAGTTAAGTACTGATTTATGGGTTTCTGATCCGATGGGGAATCCCCGGATTGAATTTAAAGAGGAAACAAAAAAGAAAAACGATTGGAAACGAAGATCCATTTTCATCACAGTGCGGGATTGATCGTTTACTCTTGGAAGTCAAACGCTAAATTAGCACAACTGTGTTTAAAGCAAGCATGATTTTCTTCTATAAAGAGCTGAAAGCTTGAGTTGAAATTAAATACCTCTCTGATCAACTTTAAATCATATCAGGCTTCGGAATACGTATGATCCAAATTTTCAATTCATATGATTTGGCTATTCTCCGTTTTCCATCTCTTGAATTGCTTATACGCCTATAGTTCGCTTACGGATTTGGACTTGATTAGATTCTATTAGGAATGGGTAATTTCTGTTATATTGCATTCACAATTTTGGTGTGACAAACTACGCGCCGTTCTTCAGTGTGCTCTCATCAGCTGATGAAAAATAGAACCACGAGTTTGGTTGTATATCTATGTCAGTTCCTTTAATTTGTCATGTGTATTCGTCCTGAGCGTTCGAGAAGATTGAAGAACTGTTGAGACATTATTTTGGCTAATTAAATGAAAAAAGTAATTTACAGTATGAGTTCCTCTGACCGTATCCTCGTAAGAACATGCAGCATCAACTCATCAAGAGCCGAGATCCTTGCAACATGTGTCATCAACTAGACTTCATGAACCCATTACTCTTGGAAACATTTTTCCCATCTTGATTTGTTCATGACATTAACCAACCTGTGTTGTGGATTTGAAGAAGTTACAGTACTGTATAAGTAGAGAATAGATTACTGTATAGGTCTGCGTAATGTTCTAAGTTTTATGCACATTCAAACATTCTCCAAATGGGACGATGAAACTCTTCTGTTGATGTCACGTCACTAGAAACTCTTTGCAGGTTGTCGTACGTGACGCTGATGTGGTATGGAGGCTTGAAGCGTGAATGTGTTATCGTGGCACGTGCGTGTGACGAATCGTATCCGAATGTTGACAATTCATGGAAACTAATGTGTCGAGAAGCGTCGCGATTGACAACGATTTATCTCCGATCAAAAATTCAATTCGTTCAACTTTTATCTTTAAAAAAAAGCACGTGATCGATTCGTGTTCACCCTGAACTTCCTGTTCCTGGTATGCACTTGCGTGACTGTTGACACGTAATGCTTCATCGCCGCCCTTGAGGATATTAAAAAAAAAATAGTACCTCATGCAATTGAACTCCCGAAACAAGCTGTGAAGAATTGAGGACTTCGACAACTTCACTCGAATTGGTCGGGTGAAAGAAACGTACGTTTGAAGAGAGTTCAACGCGCGAACAACCGTCTCATTGAATGAAGCGAACTTCTTGTCCCAAATTGTGCGTGAACGACTATATTTACAAGGTTTCAGGACTTTTTGTACGTTCGGGATTCTTCGAATGCGTCGAAAGAATCCCTCTCCATTAAAATGTTTCGGGTACCACGAACACACCTGAAAACTCGAAATATCTTGCCTTTCTCTCATTGTCTAGAGAAAAATGACTTCCAACGCAAGTACAGCACTGTATTTGCGAATGACTGATTTTCAACGTAAGGATCTTATTCTTCATGGCATTCGTCCGCAGTTTCTTCTGTCCCTAAATTTTATTTTCTGTGCCAAGTGTATTTGAACAAGAGTACGGCGTCATTAGCGCAAGGCTTGATCGCCACTCATCTCTAGGACATCTTTCAAATGTTAGCCTAATGTCTGAAATGCGCTTTTGAATGAGGTCAAAGTTATATTTTTGCGTATCGCCGAGTCAAAGGCAAAATGTTTTTTCGGTAGGCAGTAGCAGTATTTAAATCTGACCCAATAGATTTATTTAAACGCCTGCGTTATGACGCAGTCGAGCAGTGCTCTTGAAAGGAGGAACCGAAGGGATTATCATATGCCAAAATTGATTGGACAGTCTGATGCGGTTGCCGTAATGCTGTCACTAGATATAGAAAGAAATGCCATTTGCTTCGTTCGCGTTCCCCCATGGAAATTTTTGGTGTAATGCAGAATAGTTCAGACTAGACTTTGATCTGACCTATTCTGCTTCAAAGCTGAGTGTAATGAACATCACCGGAGTCACTAGAGTGATGTGAATTATACTCAGCTTTGAAAATGATGTCATTGCTTCAAGATAGTGACTTCGTTGGAAGCAGGCATTCAAAACAAAACTGTCCAATCCCCGGCGGCCCCGACAAAAGCTACGAATAATTATTTCCCTGGACGAAGGGTCGCAAAGGTTCGGGTAAGCACGTAGTGTAACAAGATACGATTCCCTGTTCGTGAGACATGTTTTCGAATCAACTTGCAATTTTTTACAACTGCAAATCTTTTTAATTTTTTCGAATCCGTAACTCCACGCATTCCATAATTGCACTCTAAACGATGTTCACTTAGCCATATGAATATCGGTTAGATGCAGTTCGGTTACGGCTTTTTAAAATAAACTTTTGAAAACCATTAACATGTTTGGAACAATTATTTTTGGTCTTTTCGGCGGTGCAAATAATTTTTCACGGATGCGAAAGGCCCAGTACTTCATGTGCTAAAAAGCCGGATATTTTCCTTTCATTCCACTCACGCTTTTGGGGAAAGTAATAATTAAACGACTTAGTGAGTCTGGGCGCGCAGGTGCTCGAAGTGGGATTGCGGTACGGTAATTCAATCTTCAACAGCTGTTCTGGTGCTGAAAGGCATAATGATTTCTTTAGGACCCCATGTACTGTACTTTACGAAACGTTTTGATCAGAAGGAATGAACGATTGAAGGGTTGTCGGTTGCCCTTCCTATGCTGGGGTGGGCGCATTTACACGTGAAAGAGAAGAAGGAAGCAGGCGGGGCAGGTTTTGTTACATTGTTTCCTTTTTGTTGGATTCGTTAAAGCAAACCATTCCTCATCACACCTTAAATTAGCACGGACAACCTCCCGCAAAATCTGAGCACCAGTAAGTGTATGAGAATGCATGTACTCCATACAGTACTGTACTTCTACAGGCATTATGCCTCATAGTTCAGTGTACGGGTGACATCTATAACCATACTTCGGTGATCAATAAATATTGTTCCAGGGAAAATTCCGTTGTTTGTACACTGTATAATAGTATTTCGCATTGGAAACTCCGCTCAACCGAGAAAAAGTTCATTGGATTCCGATTGTGTTACAATTTGAACGTCAGATCGGCCGAGCTTTACATTTGTTGGGTTAAATGGATGGGTATGGTGACAAATTGTTTTCACGACTCCATTGCGATGCGTCTATTTTTATCATTTCCTGTGAAGTAATTTTTTCAATCGGATGGAATTAAATGCAGATGAACTCGAAAAAGATTATCATTTCAGTGTGAAAGAGCGCTTTGGTTCATTTCATTCGCACTAAAATTTGTGTGGAGCAATACAGCAAGCAACGAAGTGCTTCGAAGCGAATAGAATCGCATGAGTAAAGCAGGATGACGACTCAGAAAATCTCTGGAAACAATGCGTACATGCCAGGTTTATTATTTGGTCTTTAGTTTCTTCTGAACTTATCCTGTTCCAGTTATATTGGATAAATGGGAATCCGATAACAAAAATAATGAGCTGTGTAGTAGAGCCTGGAAGTGTGACGGGCCAGCGTCCACGGATAGGGTTGTCTGTTTGATGAATGCACGCTGGGCTGATCTGTGGAACGAGCTGCGGTTTGACCTTTTGGGTCGGGGAGAACACGCGTTAATCGTCGCTGTGCTTACGTGGCTCCTTTCTGGCGTTGTCCGTGAAAATCCGCTCAAAGCTCTCGTGGCAGTGACCGCTGGGATTTAAACTCCTCTGCGGGGCAACGGTTCGGATTCTGCCTCGTGGCTCCGGCGACGGTCACTGTCCGAGTTTCCGGGGTGAACCCGTAACCCGAGCCTTGTTTCTGGCCCGAAGAGAAGGAAACAACACCGGGACCGAACTAGCGGACTACACCCGCATAATCCCTCTTTTCAGACGAAATTGGAATCCCGGATGTCCTGTTGATAGTGTTGAACTATCTGTACATTTTGTTCTGTATTGAAGTCCAGTTTGGTGTTCGGGTTGAAATCTTAGAATTGAACTCTGTACGATTTCCACGGATAGGGAAATTTTCAAACGCACCTTAAATTGAGTTTAAACAATCGAAGCATGAAGAGCACGTGTGGAGCGTAAAAATAACGAATTCAGGGTAATTTCAAGTGGAAATTTCCGAATCTCGTCCGTGATTCAACTTTGTTTTTACCGGTACAAGGCGAGAGGGAATTCGAAGCTACAGTTTTATTTTCTCCATCCTCCGAACAATTTTTGGTGTATCGAAGACGTCATCATACCTCAGAGAATGCCTATGAACTATCTTGCATAAATACAAACAAGTGTTTCTCGAATATAATAGATGATGACCTGCGAAAAGTTCACTTGAGTTTTCTTCAATTGAAATGAACGTTGAAAGTGACGTTCTGGCTATTCTCTTACTTCGAGAAGACTTATCGAAAAAATATATATTGGTTCCCTGATGCTCTTACAAATTTTCCATTTACGTGGTCACTTTTTTATGTTTAGTCCACAACATTCTTCAAGAGCACCCCGGGGTTTTGATGATTCGAATTTATATGTGCGTGCCGAACACCCTGTAAACTACCCCGTGCGATATATATTACGGACTCGAAGCTAAAACAGCGTCAAATTTGTGGTTCAACCTGCTTTTTTACGTCAATACTGAAGCTTAGCGTCACATATTTCGGGTGAATTTTCGTACCTTGTTTTTGATAGTTCAAATCTTTCTGTCAAAATCTTGGTTCGCTGACTTGAAATTTTCAAAATTTTCGCTGAGGGCGAATATATTTTTATCAACGTACGGTAGTTCATCTGGGTTACCTAATGCGAACGATAAGCGGCTGCATTTTCACCGCGGGATTTCCGTTCCGTGGGACTCGAAAGTGACCTGATTTTGCTGCCTTTCGCGGCATGGAAGCGGAGTTGTTCGGATGATTCCACGTACATCATGAAACAATGCGAATAAAAATTCCACACTTTCGATAAGAAGAACAAGCTTTTTCTTCGACAGCGATAAAGCATTGTATCCGCGGTACAGTTTGTTCTTACTTATTCGTGACACTATTTCTAAAAATGCATTATCGACCGGTGCCGTTTTGAAATAAACGTACGTGGACTCTCCGTATTAAAATTTTGTCTATAACGATTTTCTCTGTACTACGAAATTCCTTTTGATCCCATTGGGTTTTCTACGCATTTTATAGGGGTTCTCTACCACGAATTTTATTTTTAATTCGTATCCGTTGAATTTCGTATTAGACAGATTACCCCCCGTACTTCGAAAGCTGGAGCGAAATGAGTACAGTATATTAAAATAGTTTTGGTCAATTCAAAACGCTTCGGAGCGATCAGATTCACGTCGAAGTTTTGAAAGGTCTTCGGAAACCGGACTACGTTTTCAGGGTCCTCCAATATGAAGGCAGTTTATGACGATTTCCACAGATGAATAAAATATTTACGCGGATTTCTTCCGTTGCTGGAGAGCAATCCTGTGGTTGGCATTAACGTGACCGCAATATCGTATATCGAGGTTCAGAAGCCCGCGTTGATTGAATAATAAAGGAATCGGAATCCTTTTCCCCCAAAAGCACTCATTCAGGTAAAAAGCCACAAATATGCATATATTTAGTACCCCGTTTTCACGGCTATTATCTCGTAGTAGTGTCCGAAATTCGAGAAGCTGTCGACTCGTGAGTCGTTCGTAATGGCGCATTATAACGGCGTGTTTCCGTGATGCGATTTATTGCTTGCTTTAAGCCTCGGTAAAACGCATTCGTAGTCCATTTATTTTTCTCACCGACGCATCAGATTCACGATTTTGTCGCGATCTATCTTCACACGTGGATTCCTTGCGACAGATAGTAAAAATAAAACCGTGTGGCGTTGATCATCTCGACCAACTGCGCACCGACGAATGAACGTTTTTCTCTAGGATGGCTGTTGCTATTCGAAGTTATGACAGAGTCTTCTACGAAATTCCGCCTATTGCGTCTTCTTAATTTTTTAAACTGCTTGAATCCACGACTTATTTTTATTGGAATTCAGCATTCCTTGTAATTATTGCGAGTACAGCATAAATAAACATATAAGTGAATAAATGCATTGTAATATACGTAATGTAATACACATTACATATTGTTTCGCTCAATTACATCATCAACTTTCTCACTGCTCTGGCCCCTTTTCCTTAACCCAGATAACGTATTTCGATTCTCGCAAGAAGCTCTTGAAAGCTAACGCGATTGACAAGTACTTCGAGGAAGGGTGTACAGTTGGTGGAGAGCCAGAGCAAAAACTTTTTGAAATATATATTGACTTCTTGGTTTTTGTTCCTCTCTTTTGTGTATGGATGACTGGATACTGTTTAGATCTTTAGAATCGTTAGATGATTTTTTCTCATTGAAGACTTTTCAAGTGGTTCAGCAATTTCTCTGAACGTCGGGAAGAATAAATTCTCATTATATTATTTTCTTTATTTTTTATTTACTTTCGTTCGATTATTCAACTTTTTGGTCTTTTGGTGTTCGTGCTTTCATCGGTCAACCGTCTTCCTGTTCTTTCCCTCGTTTGGTCCTGTACCTGTATTATGTACCATTTTAACACCAAGTGTATCGTCATTTATCGATTTCGTTAGGAATGTGAAGCATACGCGTTAAAATTGGTACATGCACTAATTTTCAAATGATTTCTTTGTACCTTAATTGATACAGCGCGCAAGTATTGCTCATGTCATTCAAACCCTGTAAAAATTTTATTGTTCTATCTTTGTATAAGCCCATATTGAATTGAGATTACAGCATTAATATACAGTAATCTCAATTCAAAGTATTTCAACACTGGTCTTGGAATTATGGATAACTTTTGGTGAAGCATGCGATTTTGTGAGATTCGATCCGTGAGTTTCTACTGTAGATTAAATCCCCAATCTGAATTCACCAAGGCCCTCAAGAGTCGAAAGAAAGAAAAGAATATGTTCATGTAAAGACACCAGCACGAAAAGAAAGAAAAAATAAAAAAAGCTTTGAAATAGAAAAACGATGCAGGTGACAGATTTGCGGATCATCGTGCTCCGCAGTGAATGACAAAACCCTAAGTCAACTCGAAGAACAATTGAAAAGACGCTTCACGACAATGACGGAACCTCCGAAGACTGCCTTCGATTTGACGTAACCTGTGTTCAACACGATATTTTTCTATTCGAATGTACGCCTTTGTGTGAGGCTTCCTTGGAAATAAATTCGGATGATACAGTGCCGATCGTAAAGCCGCAGAAGGCTGTTGGTCGGTAAAGAACTGGACGTAAATACGTATAATGGACGCACTTTCGAAAGACCAGATGTCCATGATAAGTAATGGCTCATAATTTTTTTTTATTACTGAATCGCTATTTAGCAATTTGGTTGCCAACTGAGGCACTAATTAGGATAAACCTCGATTTTTCATCTGCCTAAAGTCTCTCGCAGAAGTGAAAAGGTTTCCAAGTTCATAGAATTATTCGACATGAACGCCTGCACCGAATTCTTAACTTACATTACCGATCCATGTCGTGAGTTGAAGTGGATGATTCCGCAATCTTCTATCCATCATCAGCTTCTTTATTTTTGAAATTCCGGTCGAATACTCTCGAAAAACTCGTGTTGTGAGCGTGAACAAATATTTGGAAAAGACCGCTATACCTATCAATAGATTTTGTACCACTTTCAGCTGTTGCTGAAGTTTATCATGAGTACCGACGCGTGTAAAAATTCCTCGAAATCCGGTGGTCCATGCTTCGCAGTTCGAGCATGCGATTTCAAAGGCTCATCCTTAAAGTCAAGGATTTTTTAAAACCGTGGAATCGTCCTGGAAACTGCCGAAATCATGTAGCCTGACCAAAATTAAAGGGTATAACCATCTTTTCGAATTGAATAAAAATTTAATTATCGGCATTTTCGAGTTCGTGTTAAGCGAAGCTCCAATCCAGTCATATCGAATCCCACCGGTCTTGCATTTATAATTTTGAAAAAATTCGTGGATGTAGAGGCCTTTTGAAGCTTACATTCCTGGAATAGAAAAGGTTGCGGCACATTTTTTCCGCAACGCGGAATTAGATACAACGCGAGAACACGATGCGTCGGAAGTAAAAACGAAGCGAGAAAATGATGCGTCTGGCAAATTCCTGTTCTTTTTTGCCACGATTGGCTGTCGATCTATTGCCATTTTAGTCAATATACAGGTGCTTCCTTTTCGCGAAGTGTTGAGATGTACAGTACATGGATTCAAGAAGTGTTGATTCAAGTAACCTCTTTCAATTCAACCTATGAATTGCAGATTTCCCTCCATGTCACGATGGGCAGTTCCAGTGTGGAAATGGCCAATGCATCCCGCTCAAATGGCGCTGCGATGGGTACAAAGACTGCAAAGATCGCACCGACGAAGACAATTGCACCCGGACCGTATGTCAGAGCGGGAAATTCCAATGCCCGACCGACAAGCAGTGCATCGACGAAGACCTGGTCTGCAATGACGTGCGCGACTGCTCCGACGGAGCTGACGAAAAGGGATGCTGTGAGTGAATTCCCGTCATTTGTGAATTTCCCCCCAATTCAGTTGGCCAAGAGGTGGCTTCAACTGAAGGGAATTGAGGGACGATACATTACGATGGATGGTTAATTGGTTTTCAGTCTACTGTACAGTATTAGTAATCAATACCATAATTACTTGAATATAGGCGGGATTGTGGCCTATACAGTACATGAATTATTCGTTTGTAGGGGGCACTGGTTTTAAGGATTTGGCCTACATTCCCGATTATGACTCAGATTTGCCCCGACTCGCAACGAAAAGGCGAAGAATGAATACAAAACAAAACTGAAGCGTCGTTCAATTGACAACCAGCCAAATGTTTTTCTGAAGTGAGATACGGTATTCCATTAATATTAGAAAATGTTGTTGAAAATTTAAAAAAAAAGATTTGAAATCCCCTTTTTTCATTCATATGTTGGCCGCTTTTTCCTAAAAATTACTTGCGGTCTACACGTAACTCTTTTCCCCTGGAATGGCTTCACCTGGAATTTGACAATCACTTTCAATTCAAGGAGTTCCAATGTTGAAGGATGTACTGAAAATGTAATAATTAGTTTTATTATTTATTTCGATGGGACAGAACGGAGGACAGCTGTGTTAAAAAGTGGAACAACTGGTGTTTAAAAGTGGAACATCCAGGAACACTTTCTGAACTTTACCTCGTAATTCAGAAGTATGTTAGGGATATTTTTTTTTACTGATTCAGTGCATTTTTCACGCAATAAATCTTTTTGCTTGACTCTTACGCGTGACCTACTTTGGATATAGCGTACATATTTTGAGCTCTCATTCTCATCTATAATTCCTCCGGCGTGGATGAAAATATAATTCAAGTCCTGGAAGGGTAATTGAAAAAAACAAGAATTCCGATAAAGGCATTGCATTACAATATGTCAATGAGCTTGACAATTTGTGGACCATCTCGCATTCACAGGAGTTCGGTTTACCAAGATTTTTATACAACTTGGATTATGTTTTGCCAACTTACCAAGCGCGGTCGTTCTTTTATTTTCATACTTTTACAAGGCAGGTAAAAATAGTGTGTGTGATGCATGCGAAAGTATCAAAGAGTAATCAATTTTTGTTTTAAAATAATTCATGCGTTTCCGTGCAGTCATTTTTTTGTTTTTTACAAAAACTGTTATTTCAAGTGAGTCGTACGCCAACTATTTCTGCTCAAATATCACTGGAACATTTAAATATACAATGGGCCAAGTTCAATACACTCATTTCCCATATCTACAGCTGGATATAAATTTTCTGGTCCTCGACGTTCTGAGCGGAATACGCAAGGCAGGCGTGAAACTTCAAAACTTCGATTGATTGATCGAATACAGTAATCGAATATTTTGATTGCGTATTTAATTTTTGCCCTCCGGCAAGTCAGACATGATGGCTATTCACTCATAATTATTTTGAAATGTATGGACGCATAATTCCTTCCTGCTTCTGATTCGTTCGAGTTAATTTGTGCAATTCACTCGAGGTATTTATGCGTCGTGGAATTCAAACTGAAAAAAATGACGATGTGAAAGGAAACGAGTTCCGGGCGCTCCATCGCGTTTAGAATGTGAGCTGTGACAGAACAGTGGACCCCTTAGGCGGGTTAATTGTTTGTGGAAGTTTAAGGTGGGAAAAGTTCCCCAGCCTGCGGTAGACTTCTTTAGAGCTTGGACTATTTGTGGCAACGCTGAGAATTATTTTCCGCCTTTCCTGGCCCTTTCGCCCAATTAACAGCTTATAGGTTAGTTTTTGGCACGAAAAATATATTTTCCTACCCGTTTTGAAGCTCCGACTCCCTTATTGACTTTTTCGAAGGTTTTCTTCAAAAGAGGTGAAAATCTCATAAATTTGGAAAGAAAATTTGTTCAAATATTTGTTTTTAAACCTCCATGGTTTTTTATGAGATACCGCTAGAGGCGGTATTGTTGATTCATGAATAAAATAAATACTCTTATGTTAGCATTGTGCGGCGTCGGTTTTGATTTGATTCGTTAAAATAAGTACAGTACGCCGAATGACGCCGACATTCGCGAATCAGCTGTTTGATTTCAGCGGTTAGCGACTTCTCAATTTACTGTACATGGAGGCACAGTATTTTAATGTAGATTTTTCAGGATTAGAGTTTAGGCTACTTAACTTTTGCGCGCCGAGCTTCGTTTTACGAATCATTGTGTTTCTCAGACGAATTTTTGCGATGTATGTTCCCGATGAATATGGAATGTTTTAATATATGCAGGCACAACACATTCAAACGATACTCCTACAGTAATTTCGACTCGGATGCGTGTCACGAGCCTTTGGTAATTTGCGATAATTCTAATTTTTCTCAAGAGCAGGACCCGAAATAGTATTCCTGTGTTAGAAACAGAATGACGTGTTCTGACTCGCGTAGATGAACTTGTATTTTTTATTATTTCCGAATCAAAACTGATGCGCGAGATGATTACCCAGTATTTCACTCCACAAATATTTTTTAACCTTATCAGTTGTCGAACAATCCCAGAGGCTAGTGATTCCGCGATTTATTTTCGATTTGAAAATTCCCTTGAATGATAATCTTTGTTCGTCCTCTTTCTTTCACAGCGGACGAAAAATGTGGGCTCTGTGAATACAAATGCCGGAAGTCTCAGGAAGGCGGGGACTGTGTCTGTCCCGAGGGGAAAGTACTCAATCCGGAAGATTTGCTTTCCTGTATCGGTGAGTGGACTGACGCAAACTGCTAGCATTCGAGATGGCTGAATATTCATGGCGTAATTTGAGTGGTTCTCTCGGTTAAAAAAAGAGCTACAGTACTATCGTTAATTGCTTCAAATAGAATTTCATCGATTTTTCAAGATCCGGCGCTGAAAATTACTTCTCGATGGTTGTGCAGTATGTTTTCTACGAAGCTGTGAAATTGATGCATACTTCACTCGAATTCGCAGGCGTTCAATGGAAATTCTTTTTATGGCATGAGCAATTTGTGGAAGATTCTAGTCTGAGGAGTACCGTACTGGCATAGTGCAAAAATCACTGTGCTTTTCACGTTTGCAATAAAAAGTCGCCGAACTATCATTCGAGTGGCGTTAGGTCTTCACGTTGCAGTATGTAAAATCCTCCAGATTAGGCCAAAATAATGGGAGACTAAAGCCATGCATTCCAATGAGATTCAAAGTAATTTATTGCACCTATTGATTTTTATCTATCCATCAGCGACTAAGGTGGAATGAATGTTGGGAACTTGACATTTTGAATTAAAACTGCAGTACTCTTTTTTTTTTTGACCCCGGGTAAAAGTCATTCTTGCCATGGATTGATTGCGTGTTAGGCGTGCATTTGAGGAAGGGGGATAGCACCGATCGGAGCGTGTGCACATAGGTCATGTGGTGTAGAAGCTATAAAGTAAAAATACCAGGTGGTATAAATATAGACTACAGGTTCGACTGCAGACGAAATAATGACGCCGTTGATCACGTAAATCGATAGAATGTGATAGTCAAAAATTAAGTGTATTTTTCGAAGCGTTCTTCAGTCTTGAAAACTTTTTTCCTTTCGATCGTAACCCTGCGATAGAAAATGGCATCGTCGATTGACGTGACCTATTGTGGACGTGTCCCACTCAAACTTTCTCCCAAAATTTGGAGAAGACGGAAGTCGGAGTGCGCCGTGAACGAATTAAAATTTTGAAAGGATCGGAAGGAATAATCCTCGATTTTTCTGTCTAGTAATAGCGCTCGCGTTTTATGGGGTTGAGTGGCACACGAGTACTGCAATTACGGTACTCTATTTCCGAAACGTGGGCCCCTCAAACTAACTGCATGGAAATCGTCCGTCTCTTTTGTTATCCAACAGATCGCAACGAGTGCGAAAAGTGGGGATTTTGCGATCAGATTTGCCACAACACGTACGGAAATTACTCCTGCTCGTGCGTAGACGGTTATAAGCTGGACATTACCGGGAAACGCTGTCTTGCCGTGAACTCCTCGTCAGCCGAGATATACTTCGCCCATTGGGACACCATGTTCCGCGCCAACATCGACGGTACGAATCTCCGAGTGGTCTCCGACTCCTCTGACATTGTCGGTTTAGACTACCATTTGGAGAAACAGTACCTCTTTTGGTCCGACAAGAAGTTGAAAAAGGTTAGTATTTTATTTATTTATTTATTTCCTGTCTATGCCCCCCCCCCCCCCCCCCCGCCTCCTCACCTTTGGGAATGGGGAAAAAAATCGTTATGAGCGCTCCTGCTGTTACTAGAATCCTGAAGCCATGCGGCCATCACTCAAAAACATTTGTGTATTTATAACGCTGTAGGAAAAGGTTTATATATGGTTAAAAAATCCAAAAAGCGTTGGAAGGTTCTGTCGACTTCTTCTCCAAAGAAACACATTTTTTGTGAGCTGTTTGAGTGCTTCACTAATCAAAAATCTTGATGGAGTCTGACCACGGAGATATTAACCGAATGACTCCGCCCAGATATGATAACACCTGTCTATAGTCCATTCATTCAATGATGGTAACATTTAAATGATTCTACCACGTTGTTGGGTTTCTTGAATGATTTTTCGTCGTCCCTGAATCGAAATTTTAATGCTCGAACAAACGTAATTCTAATCGACGATGGGAACATTTTTAATCCAGCTATACCTAGTCCAGAAACATATGGCGTTCGCAGCATGCTTCACGAAAATTCTCCATCTCAGAGGTTCGTGCCGACAGCAGTAGAAGCAAGAAGTCTTTTCTGGGGTTGAATTAATTTATTGCTTATATAAAGTCCATCTCCTTATAACGTGCGTTGGTTGAAGAGAAACTGTCGCGAATTTGAATGGTGTGTTCTTCTCAGATTTACCGAGCGCAGCTACCGCAGGCTGGTTCGAAAGACCTGGCGGATTTAAAGCAAGAGATTATGCTTCCGATTGGAGCAAACTCGACTTCATCCCTCTGGTTCCCTGAGGCGATCGCTGTCGATTGGATCGGAAACAACTTGTATGTTGCCGATTCCGTCGGTCAGAAAATCGAAGTGTTCGCTTTCGACGGACGGTTTTACGCCATTGTCCTGGGTCACAATCTCACGTCGCCGCACGACATCGCTTTGGACCCGACGGAAGGGTACGTGTATAATACCAATATTTCATAATTGTTGTCCCGACCATAGTTATGTCAATGCTATGGACATCAAAGAAAGTGTTCTGAGTACAGGATTGCGCATTAAAATTATGCCACTTATTGATGTTTTAATTAACTGCGCATTGCAGAATATTCGCGCCGATTCTTGCTTTTCCGGTTGATCCGCTGTGTGGACCATAAAGCCAACTGATATTTGGGCACCGCAGCTTTTTTTCACCTGGGCAAAAGCGACGCTTAATTTCTGAAATTGGTTGTCTTGCTTAGTGTAACATTCGTCATCGATTCATTCAATTTTCATCTAACGGGGGCCATTGGTACAGATACACCGAGCAAAATTCCTGCTGAAAGATCAAGAACAACTACACCCAGCATGATTGTCGTTTTTCAATTCGTTTCAAACTTTTTGTAGTCGCTTGAAAGTATCGTAAATTTATAAAATGAATCTATTCATTGGAAGCGAGGTCGTGAAAGATTTTCAATAGGAAGTAGTTTTCACACTTGGCTTGATTGTGGCAGCACTGAATGACACAGATCACGAAATATAAATGGACGAGGAGATGATAGAAGCAGTTCATCTCGGAGGCCGGAATATGCTCGGCCGTGGTCGCCTTTCTCCATCTTTGGAAAAGATTTGACGTCTAATATTATGGACTTTATCTGTTCTAATGGGTTATTTTCGAGTTTTGTTATCCGAGAAGTCTATTAGCCAATGACTGGAAAGCTATGCGAAATGGCTTTTTGGTTCTGCCCCCGAAAGTACCCTGATGAGTGCAGTAATCGAGAGCCAAATTGAATGATCAATTCATTCTAGAGATCCCTCGGAGATGTATTTGCTTAAATCAATAAATAAATCAGCTGATGAGTAGATCTTAAACATATGTATTCAAATCATAAAAAGCTGAAACAAGTCGTAAAATGCCTCGTTGATTACCCGGATCCGAGGCGAAAATGTCGGATGCATTTATTTTCCGAAAACGCATACTGTACTGTATTGCCCACTTAGTATCGGAAGGAGGCGAAAATCATGGAACCGCAGTTTCCGTTGTTGATTTAATGCTGAGAGAGAGAAAACACTTTTTGCCTTCGACTTACGTGAAAATATTTTTTTCAAATTCGTTGGTAATGACGTTGTTTGATAATTTTTTTTCTATCCGTTATCGTCGTTAGGTACTTGTTCATCAGTGATGGAGGGAGAATCGTACGTGCTCACATGGATGGTAGTTTCTTGCGGGAAATTGCTAAGGATGGAATTTTCAAAGCATCAGGTTTGGCTGTTGATCTCGCCACTAAACGTCTTTTCTGGTGTGACTCATCTTCGCATCACATTGAAACATCATTGTACGATGGATCACAGCGTTCCATCGTTCTGCGAGGTTTGTGCTGTTCTTTGCTTTCATCCTAAGGTATTTTCATGCACGAAATGAGGGATTTATGTGATCTAATGACGTTTAATTATATTGCGCGGAAGCTTTTGTGGTCCTTTTGATTCCTTCTGATTATTTCGGTCGACTTTTTCGATATCTCACATTTTGAGATTTTCCTCCAACAGTAATTCACAATTCATTCCTCGATCTGAAGAACGGGATTTATTTACAGTTATTGTTTAAATTACTGCAAAATAAAAAAATTTCTTGTCAAAAAACGTGTGCGAAGATTTTGTGAACGCGCATTATTTCTTGTTCATTTCTTGAAGAAATAAAAAAAACTGAAGTTCAGATCAGATGCGTTTTTGGTTTCCGTAATATTCGAGAGTTTTTTGGCGCATGACTCATTGTGATCAAGTCGAAATTTTTCGCTAGGTGTATTTCATGCAATGGCGTACAGTATCATTTATTTCATGGTTGAGCTAGAAACCTTTGTGAATGAGCTGTAATTGAAGTGATGTAGATTGCGGTAGAACACGAAACAAAATCAGCCTTGTCAAACTGCTGGATGTTTGCCACTTTTCCCGATTGCAGGAATGAAGGACGTGCCGTCTCCAAGTCGACTGACTTTGTTTGAGAAGGACTTGTTTTGGAGCGATGCGACCAAGTCCGGTATCCTAAGGACTGACAAGTTGCATCCATCGAAGGAAAACGCTTTTTCCGTCGTCTATCAAAATAGGTCCGTCAATCACGATCCCGTCGGCCTGAAGGTCGTTCACAACTTACTTCAGCCGTCAGGTTTGTAAAATTCTTCCTCCCATTAGTCCTTTTGACTCGTGTTGGAAGGGATCGTTTAAGGATGATTCTTCTTGGTGACTTTGACTGAGAAAGAAAATCATTTACCTTAACTCGGGAAGTCAACCTAGCGTTTGAGACTAAAAGAGGGAGACTATTTTAGTCTTTTTTTTTTATGTGCGCATGAGAACTAACTCCATGCAAAGGGTTACCATCGGAATATGATTCTTGAATATAGCGTCGTCTTTTCTTATTGGGAGCTTGCTCAATTCCCCGGAAAAACTTTCCCAGGAATGGAACGTAAAACAAGTATAATTCTCAAGCGAACGCGTTGCATGTAAATTTAGGCACACCTGGAACGTCGGAAATGCAAATGAGGTCGAGGGTGAAGGAAATATTGCGAGGGCTGCGATGCGAAAAGGGGAAATTTTTGGTCTGAAACGCGGCTGGCCCGATGCTGCACTGGAACGAAGGGCAGCGGGTTAAAGCGGAAATAATAGCGGAAAAGAAAGGCTTCACAAAAGTAGATTCGTGGGAGGAACACGATGCAATTGGTCTGCTTTTCTCTGTCTACGGGCTTTCGTTTGTGACACAACTCCGACTTCTTTCTTCCTTTTCTTTTCTTCGACTGTCACATGTTTTTCGAGGCGCAATTTCGCAGGTTTCGTCTCCATTGTTCAGATTTATTTCTTAGGAGCACGGAAACATGGCTCCTACCCAAAAAAAAAAAAAAAAATGTCGGAAGTTCTGACGCTTTCGGAGTGATTAAAAAAGCGTATTTGCTGGTTATAACTTCTGCATAGAATCCTAAATGACTAAACTCACACGAGTACGTCACTAACCCAAAACCAAGATCAACTAACTTAACACCTTCTTACCGACGCCTAACCAACCATCAGTTGATTTTTCTGCCTGAATTCGAAGCGATTTATTGTCCAGTAATGAGAAACCGCGAAGCTCATGCTTTTTCCGTAGAATTTGCAAAGGGGCACTCTTTTCTGGACGGCGTCCAGTCGCAACATGTAAGACATCGAAGGATAAAAAATTTCTAGCGGTAGATAAATCTGACTTGAGCTGCGAAAACGTGTAATTTATGCACTGTATCACTGTATATTGTACGTGATGCTAGTCTGCGTTGTGGTAATGGTGACAGCAATTTTATCCGACGCCTCATCGCCTTGCTTTGTTCGCAGTTCCAAGACCATGCGGCGACAACAATGGCGGTTGCGAGCACATGTGTATCGTAACGAGGAACGCGGCAGACAACGGTTTGGGGTACCGATGCGCCTGCAACATCAAGTACCAGCTCAGCCCCGACCGGAAGCACTGCACAGGTGAGAAAGCTTTTGTAAGATAAAGCAGTGCTGCTTTTAGACACGTTGTGAGGCTGATCCAGATCAAAGTTTACGATTTGGTAGGTGATAAATCAAGTACGTGAAGGCTTCTTCAGGGGCAAAAAAAAAAAGTTTCGAGGATCTGCGTCACCGCTACTTGCAGCTTTTCATGGATATATGTGATTACTGAATAATTTATATCTCGTATTACATTGCGTAAATCATTTAAAACACGAGTATTACCCTGGGGTGTATTTGTGTGGCTGGTAGCGGACCGAAGTATATCGAGAATATACTCGAAAACTCAAAATGAGCACAACTCTGTTTCACCTCCAAATGTTCGTTACACTGAGGATACCTTTTTTATTTGTATTTGCGGACGCTAAAATTGGGAGCTCATTGATGCTTTTACTCCGAAGATTCCATATCCTAACTTTGACATAAAAATCTTACTCATCCTTCGTACACTGCAGTACAGAATCGAGGAAAATGGAATGAACATTTTTGTTTTTCTGATGAATAAGAAAGAAAGAAATACTCTACGTACAGTACTACAGCATATAGATTTTGAATAGGTAATCGGTGTAAAAACAGTGAATTTTGTGCATCAGCCCAGGTGCACATGAATTATCACAGATTTATAAGCACTAGCAGTGTGGCCTAGTAACTTATTTTCGGGAAAGGGTTCTCAGTAAAGCTCAGCGTTCCAGGAAAGAGTTATCTCAATGATACCTGTATAATTTGAAATTTAAAAGATTATTCAGATTATCTTTATTTGTGTACTAATTCTTTGTACATAGTGTTAGACCTTCTATCGGTGTGTTGATTTGATGTTGCTTATCTACTGCGATACACTTCGTAAGAGAAATTCTTTGCGGTCCCTGAAATGTCATAAATGGAGTAAGCAGAAATATCTGTGTATCAGATCTGCGTGCTTTAGGCGCGATGCATTGCTTCCTGCATTTTTGAACCTTCAGTTATTAAATCGAATTCAATTTCGAAACTGTAGCTCAATAGCAATAATGTGGGAAAGCGACGGTTCAATTCCTCCTTCTCCCCTTTTTCAGAGGCGAGGAATTTCTTGCTTTATTCGAAGCAGAAATTCATCAAGGGCGTCGTATTGGACCCAGTTGAGGCTGGTTTCAATGACGCCATTCCGCCGCTCGTTTCGAAAACGGCCAGATTTGTTGGCCTGGATTTTGACGCGCACAGCCAGTACATCTACTACTCCGACGTGATCCTCGACGTCATCCACCGTGTGAAAATCGACGGCTCAGGTAAACTTCCCAAAAATTGAACTCTAGGCTCGCAAAGTTTTGAGGAATCGGTTAATGCCTTTAGGAGGGCATTCAGCACTTGTCTAGTTAGGCGTTATTCCTTACGTGACACTTCGTGCTATATTTTTGAAAGATGAATTCTTCAGTTGTTTCCCTGCCTACTGTAATTTTGAGTGAACGGCTTGACACTCGACATTTCTTTCATTTACCTGAAGGCCAGAGCTTTGTCGGCACTAATTTCACTCCCAGTGAACATGAGGCAAACTTTATGAGTTCTGTTTTAACCCACGTATAATGAGTAGCGGATATTTCCAAGCTTTTTACAGCATGATTTTATTCGTGGCTTTCGTATTCTCCGTATTTGCAACCGCTGGCCAAATGTGAACCTTTTCTGTACTGTTTTCTCTTCGTACAAAATATTTTCAAAATTTCCTTGGAATGAATTCATTTACAGTAGTGCCATCAAGGTGTAAGTTACAATATTCCATGTCGATATCAGGAAATGAGGTCGATCGATGACGCTTTTGAAAGTCCCATTCTTCGTTTGTCTGTGTGGGAACAGGTCAAGAGAACGTGCTTGCAGCGAACAATGAAGGCGTGGAGGGACTGGCACTGGACTGGATAGCGCACAATTTGTATTACATTGACAGCAGACAAGGCACGTTGAACGTGCTGTCGACGAAAAACCCGCAATGGAGAAAGACTCTGCTAAGCAATTTGAAACGGCCCCGAGCCATCGTCGTGCATCCGAACAGAGGGTAAGCATTTGCAAGCATCATGCAGTAATTTCTATTATCCGCCTTATGATCAACCGGGCATTTGATTCCTCGTGTTCGGAATAGGATTCCTTGAGAAGAGAGAAATGTGAAATCCCTGATCGATTCAGGCTAAAATACTGAACATCAAATTTTGAAAAAATGCAGTGATGCATAATGTATATTTTATTTTTTCCTGCATACAGTCTTCGGATATTATCGTAATACATAATTATTCGGGAAATGGAACTCTGCCATTATAGTCCTGCTTTTCTGAGTGCTTCCGCACTGTATTCTTCATTCGAAATTGTTGCGAAAGTCGGACCTTCGTCGTACAATGAAGTACTGTACTTATCATCACTCTAAAAGTCTAAAACCTATACCTGTATATATAATTCGCCAATGGAGTGATAATAAGTACTGTATTCGATTTGCTTCCGTAATCTTGAAATGTAATTCGGATGAATCTCACTCTGTAGTGATTGATCTACACTTGTTGTTCTATAGTTTTTGACACTTGCGAATCCAAGCTCCTGATGCCGACACGATTTTGAGAAAAAAGGCATGTATTCCGCGATTAATTGTTGATGATATGTATGAAAATGCCGAATCTTTTGCATTATGGTTCGGAGATCCGAAGACGGGTTTAGTGACTGATCCTTGAAGTACATTGCCGCGTTTATTGTGGCTACTGATAAGCAGCGTGCAGAAATTGTGAAATTTTTATGCAGTACCTGTACTGAAAAGGCATTTTATTCAAATAATGATTTTCCAGTAGCTGACACAGAATTCTGACCTAGATTTCACGAAGCCTCGATTAATGCAAGTAGAGATTTCAGACGTATGTTTTACGAGACATTTTGCTCAAACCCTGAGAAAAAACGACGCATATTGAAAAACCCTGGGAAATTATCGGCCATATTTTTTTGGAAAATTCATAAAGAAGTCACCTATTTTTTGAATAATCCGTGTGCCAAAACCCACCTGCCTGAGAATTCTCGCGAGAATTACAGGGCGGCTAGTATGAGGAAGAAATATTGCGGGACTTCTGAAGCTTTGAAAACAATTGAAAAAATGGTCTTGTATCATTTGAAGCTAAATGTATCGTCTGAATTGATTTTTTTAAGGTATCTCTTTTACTCCGAATGGGAGCGACCCGCAAACATCAGCCGAGTGAATTTGGACGCTTCTGGCGTGGTTGTGTTTCAAAAGTTGATCCTTGGCTGGCCCAACGGCCTTGCGATCGACTACGACGAGGATCGGCTGTACTGGTGCGATGCTCTTTTGGATCACATCCAACACTCCAAGCTGGATGGCTCTGATGTCCACACGGTTTACACCACGCTGATCCGTCACGCCTTTTCCCTGGTTGTTTTCGAAGGTGAGTTTTGTCGATTACGGTGCACTTGATTTTCGAAAATTTGTGGACTAAAATTGCCCTTTTAAGAAGCCAGACTTATTGGGAAAAAAATCTTCTGCATAAACAGAGAAGCAAACGGGGTTTTCCCTTATTTTCTTGTAGTTTTCTGTTGCGTGAACCAGAATAATCAATATGGAATTGTGAGAGAGGGGTTGAAGGAAATATTTTCTGCCTTTATCGTATTTAGTTTCAGACCACCCATTGATGGCTGTCAGTCAAGTACACTTGAAATCTTTAGAGTTAGCCCACGAAAATTTTCAGATCAATGTATGATTTGAGTTGGAATCCAAAACGCTTAAATGAGGCTCGTCTTGTAACTCGAGAGAATTTTCAAGTGATCATGTATATCTTCATCCGGAACTTTTACAGCGACATAAAGCACCTTTGGATTATCCATTTGTAAATGCGTGTAATTTTGTAAGAGGAAAAAAGACAGTTTGCCTGGAAGCAAAAATTTAATAAAGAATCTCTGAAGATCCGGATTACTTTTCTGGTAAGGGACACGTAAATCCAATTATCTGTACTGTAATAAAGTTTCATATTGTGCGGTTAGATCGGGCAAATGCTGATTCATCGTCAGTGGAAAAATTAAAATTTGGTGAGAAATTAGTGACCTTCCGAGCAGGCGCCCCGAGTATGACTAAAATCGGCCGCAATTGATGAAAATGAGGTGTGCTTGCTGGTTTCACACTACCTTTTAGTCATTATATGCATTTTGAATAACCCGGATAGCTCATCAGGTGATTTTCGCTGTATAATTAAGTAATATTTTTCTCCAAAAGCGTGGATAAACCTGCGACCCTCGTGAGACCGCTCACCATCCATTAAAATGCCTTCGTGGTTGCGTGGGAAAGACGATCTGAAATTTTTTGCGCTTCGTTGGTTTACCCGCGAAGGAATCGTACCATTTTTTGATTCAAGTTCTATTCATGTTTGACGGACCAGCCGGTTTTTTTCAAGTCGCACGGAATAATTTTTTTCAATTCCCGAACTGATGTTCTTTTTGTAATTAAGAAAACAGATCTACAACAGAAAGTATTTTTAATCGTTGGCTTAAAATCACTTCACAGTTCAGCAGTAACCCACGGATGAAAGACGCGCTCAATTTCGATTTCAACTCGCGAAAACTCACGTTTCGTCATAAACCAACTACGCCAAATATTTGCGCGAAAAAGGAGAGTTCTGAGGTAATCCAAAGTACAGTACTTACATTTGCACACTAAAGTGATTCATGGTACAGTTTATCTAATTTTACTGATATATTTCAACAGCAATACGTGATTTTTGAACGTGATCTGAAGTAGCAGCGGAGATCTTACGATATTGAGTTTATTATATACTGTATCTGGAAAAGCTCTGGCGAACTTTTTGCGAGTTTTAGCAAAATTTTTTTATGATGCTCATCGATTATTCACTGCGTTGCTTGCTAAAGCCCTTTGGACAAATCAGCAGTTATTTGCGCTCAGGAGATAATACCCTCGAAAAATTTCAGCATTTCTCGGTCCAAACTGTATGCTATCTATTTCTATCTATTTCTAGCAGATACAGTACGTTGCAAATGGTAGGACGTTGAAACTTTTTATCCATATTTGTTTTCATCGTGGTAAGCCGAAAAAGTAAAATGAGTGGCGGAGTTGTTTCCGTTTTTCACTCACCTAGACACGGTAATCAAAAATTTGAAAGAGGCTCCTCGTGAAGCTTTAGCTTGAGCCTAAATTGTTCAGCGCATCTATGGAAATCAACTCCTGCCATTGGCGTAAAGGAAGTGAAATGCGCGAACATTAAGAAAGTCTAAAATGAAGATTGATACATCAACGTGTCGGCGGGCATCTTTTGCAGAGTGGCTGTACGTGACTGATTGGCGGTTGGATGCCATTGTGAAAGTGCAGAAGAAGACTGGCGAACGCGAGAAAGTGATTGAAGAAGTCGAACAAAGCAACCGGCTTTACGGCATCAAGATCTTCAGCTCTAAGGCTCAGCGTATCGACTATCAGAATCCTTGCATTGTGGGGAAGCACGTTACGAAATGCGAGAAATTCTGCTTCGCGGTTCCGCCGGAAAACCAAACTGTGCCAGACGGTCAAGAGTACTTTTCTGCGAAGGATCTCGTCGCCCGCTGCGATTGTCCGACCGGAGAAGTTCTCAATGGTAATTCATCCTATTTTCAACTATCGTAAATAAATTGCGCATTTTACAGCACGATACATTGCATTATAATATCACGGTGAATACCGTAGATGTGTAAAAACGAAATGCCGGATCTTGAACGAATCTCTGCCATCACACTTTTGGATGCGGAAGAGTTCCCCGAGTCTCGTAGGAATTGTATGTGGGGTACGGAATATTAAAGAATAATTTTCTGCTTTTTTCTTTAAAAACAAAAGTGGTGAGCGATTTACTGGCGCTTTCGCGGTTACCATTACATGTTATGCTTGCATGACGTACTTTACACCTGCTGTTGTAAGATAATAACAGTAATCACGACTATGAGTGAAATCAGTGGTACCCATGAAATACGACAATAAAAAACTCTCTCGACGATGTGAAAGTACAGAATCGCCGAAATAATTATGAACTATGAAACGCATGGCCCGTCATTAAAAGAAGAACGAAAATTTGGTCCTGGTTCGATTATAACACTGTACAGTACTTCCGGCATATATTTTAAACCTACTTTTGCTCGAAGGGATTCTTTTTTTTTCATCAAGTTGATGGCGTAAGGAAAAGTTAGAATCAGTGTAACGGTACCGGACCGAGGCATGTATTTTCGATGAGAAAATGTCAGTAAGACACTGATTATTTCTACTTGTCAGACATTTCTGCTGCTCTTTTTTCTATCAATGAGAGTGATGGATTCCAAGTGTACCTAATCCGCGAAATAAAATGTACTGGCGTGCTTATTCTATCTAAAATTTTACGAATGGCGTCATATTCTATAGATAGTGCCGAGGTCAAGCGGCAATATTTGAGGCTTCCGGCTGCAAGTTAGCTCGTGCCATCTTGAGGAATACCAAGCTGCTGCCAGTTTTGAGCAAAACAATTCTCTGGGGAAAGGCTAATTCTTGTTCTTTTTTTCCATCGAATAGGGACCTTCTGCATTGCAGATCCGAACTTCAAAGACAATGGCACCAGATGCAATAAGTCGTGGGAGTTCCGTTGTGATAACGGTCGCTGCATTTCGAAGTCGTTTGTTTGCGATGGAGACAATGACTGCTTCGACGGGTCTGACGAAAACAACTGCACTGGTGAGACGTTTCTTTCAAAACTTTGACCAACCCCCGAGTTCCGGGGGGGGGGGGGAGGTTTCCTCAAGTTGTTCAAGAAGCTCGCGTTTGAATCGAATTATGAAGTGCGAACTGAATTGTTGTGAAGAATATCCTGAATTAACAAGTGGATTACAGTAAATTACTTGACAGTTGTGGACTTATTTTCCTGTAAGGATTTAAGGGAAAAGAGGTGGTGTTCAATAAAAGTTTTCATCTTCTTTCATGAAGTTCAAGTCCACCTAATAGAGCCTCTCTGCAACTGCAGAAAAATGTTAGGCTTTCTTATCGAAGGATGATTCGAAAGTGAATGTGCAATACACAAGTTCAGTCTAAAAAAAAAAGGAACTTTAGCCGTATAAGTGGGGAACTTGCTCATAAATGTCCTTTGGTTCCCATTATGTCAACAGTCATATTCTCGAGGCGAGAATGGTTTCTTGTCTTCATGAACCGTCTTTCAATGTTTAGGCAGCTTTCATATGACAATGTTATTCGTAAAACCGATTATGTTTTGGCCTCCTGAATATCGTTTTCGTCAAGATAGTCCACCTTTGCTTCAGTTTTTTTTTCAATAATGTAGTTTATGATGTAATTGTCCCCTGAAAGTCTGAAGACGTGCCTTAGTCGATGACGGTTTTTTCACAGTCGTTCAACTTCCCAGGATAAGATTAAGTTTACTCTGTGCTATGCAGTATAATTATATTATTTTACACCGATAATGCAAGGCTTTTTGTACTTGGAGAGCAACACTGTGTTTCGATCTCAATTATGCTTACATCATTAAATCAAGTATCGCAATTTTTCAACTATAAAATTTTTCCGTTCCAATCCTTTCAGACGTTACTTGCGACTCTGGTTTTTTCAAATGCGGCAATGCGAACGGACGTTGCGTACCGGCGTCGTACCGCTGCGATGGCGTGAACGACTGCGGCGATAGCTCGGACGAGCTGGACTGTCAGAACACAACATGCGGGCCGAGCGAATTTGCTTGCAAGAAGATTCACCAATGCATCTCTGAGGATTGGCGCTGCGATTCCGAGAAAGACTGCGGCGATGGGACTGACGAGCTTGACTGCGAACAGAAAACTTGCGCGTATTTTCAATTCACATGCCCCACGTCAGGAAATTGCATCTCTCAGGGTTACCGGTGCGACGGAGAGAAGGACTGTCCTCACAACGAGGATGAAGAAAATTGTCCTCCGATCACGTGCACGGCCGCGCAATTCAAGTGCGCGAATTTGAAGGAGTGTGTTTTGGAAACGTTCAAGTGCGATGGCATCAAGGATTGTGCCGACGGCAGTGATGAACTTGGATGTCGTAAGTTTTGATTCAATTTTTTATTTTTTATTTCGAAATCATAAATATTCGGGACGTGATCGTGAGGAGGCGAACACGCGGACGCAGTTTGCTGCATAAAGTTCTATTTCCAGTCTACTGCTTTGTTGGGCGGATGGTCTCAATTTTCAGAGAGTAATACATGTATAGGAAGGAACCTTACCAGTGTTTTCAATTTTTACGGACATACGGTAGTTTAAATGGAAACAAATCCGAAAAGTGAAAGTGCACTCTTCAGCCCAAAAAATATGGTTCTCTTCCTTGTTAGAAATAGCAGCCGACAAAAGCTTCCTAGAAAAGTTCATTACGCGAAGTATACAATTTTTATTTTGTTGGACGTGATGTGTTCTCTGATTCATTAGCTTCCGTCGCTCCAAATCAATGCAATGCGGAGAAGTATTTCACGTGTGAAACCTCCAAGGTTTGCATTCCAAAGAACTGGTACTGTGATGGAACCGATGATTGTACGGACAGCAGTGATGAGCCGGATACATGTGGCGAGGTATATCTATTTTTCTTTTAGGGTTTCGCTCTCCGAACACGTGATGTGATTATTGTTGCACTGTTAGATACAATGCGGGGAGAGTCATTTTAAGTGCAACAACTCCAAGTGCATTCCAAAGGCGTGGATTTGCGACGGCGAGGATAACTGCGGTGATGGCAGTGACGAGGATTCGCGACACGCCTGCAAACTGCTGACGCCGCAGTGAGTTCGAAAATACTCATACCATAATGTATCTATTCATCAAACGTGTTGTTAGACGAAAGTTGATTCAATATTGCTCGTATTTAAGCGCTGTTAAACTCTGATTATAATGGCTAACATCCGAATGCCTTTGTTAATCAAATACCGAGATTATTCCATTGTCAAAAAATGTCTTCAGCAGACGACGTGACATGATATCACTGAAATTCGTCTTGTGGATCTCTTATTGTATAATATCTGTTTTTATTTTTCTATGGAATCACACAGGGAAATGTAGCGAATCAAGGTAAAATTCCGAGACATTGTAGCCGTTTTGTCGCCGCTCAAAGAATCAAACTTCAACCAAGCTAAATCGAATATATGCTATGGTCCCATTTTTGAATGAAATTCGGCTAATATAATTCGTACTGTAGCTAGAGAAGGATTTTTCTATTTTTCTTATTTTCTTTCAAAATGCCCGTTTCATTCCAGTTTTCATGAAGGATTCGTGGATTACACTATTTCATGAGTGATGCTCATTCGTAATTTTTTGAATGCCTCTGTGACTTCAACTTTCCGAAGTATTTCTCTTGTAAATTGTTGAATCGAACTCGTCTCAACATAACGATGGTAGCAAAATAAGAAATGCGCCCAGTGATTTTATTGTGTCCGCGTGTATTTTAATGGTTAATTTGTTTATCAACAAATCAAGAAGCAAAAATTCCCGACTTACGAGCTGATTACTATACTTCTTTGATGACGTGTTTTGACTCTTTAATTTCCAGCTGTGATAACGACGAATGGTCGTGCCCCGGAGTTTCCGGAGGCTGTGTTCCCATGAAAGCTGTGTGCAATGGAACTGAGGAATGTCCGAACGGCAGCGATGAAGGTCCTGGGTGCACAACGAGCCACTGTGACGATAATTGCTCTTACAAATGCATTTTAACCCCGACGGTAAGTTATTCACCCATGGTGAATTTTCAAACTTATACCGAACGTGCGCTAAAGGCCTAACGCAATACAATTGTTAGGTTCATGAAAGTTTCTATTGAAGCGATAATGAAGGCAGCGTTCGATCTGATCAGTGCGTCGCAGCCTTCATCAGCTTATTATAGGAAATTCAAATTTTATTATTGAATATTCTGGACGAATATGAAGGATTCTGTTCAATTTTATGGTGTGATTGACCGAAAATATTTTCTTAATAGGGCGCCCAGTGCATTTGCCCGCCCGGTATGGAGTTGGCTGCCGATGGACTGCAAATGGCCTGTCAGGACAAGAACGAATGCGACCCACCGGGCATCTGCTCGCAAACGTGCACAAATCTGGAAGGATCCTACATTTGCAATTGTACCGAAGGTTATGAACCGACCGGACTTCGGGGACAATTATGCCGTGCCATTAGTAAGTACTTAAAAAAAAAGCCTTACATTTTTGTTACCTGGTACATTTTTTGTTTATCGCACAGATACTACACAAGCATTCTTGATCATTTCTAATCGGCGATCGCTGCTTACTGGAGACTTGGACTCGCATTCTCTCAAGAGGATTCCAGTCAACGTTGTTAACGTTGTTGCCGCCACCTCAGATATGCATACACAGACGGTATTTTGGTCAGAGATGAGAGCGAAGAAGATCATGAGGCTAGACAAAGGAGAATCAAATGCCGTTGAGGTGAGTTAACCGTAGTTTCCCTATGTCACGTGTATAGGATCATGGATTCGGTTTTTATGCTGCTGGATTTAGTTCTAGGATATTGTAACTCACTGGATTATTATTTCATTCCTGATACATGTTTATTCCGTCTTTTTAGATATTGAAAGATATTCACTAAATTTGTATTATTCTCATTTTCGAAAGGTTATTTCAAGTGGTCTAGATGTGGTCGAAGGCTTGGTGTACGATTGGGTTGCAGAAAACCTGTATTGGCTTGATTCGCATCTGATGAGAATCGAGGTGGCGAAAGCAAACGGGGAGAACAGAATGGTTCTAGTCAGTGAGCACGTCTCTAAACCTCGTGGCATCGCTTTGGATCCCACCAAAGAGTCAGTATTCATCGTTATCATTCTCTCAGTTTCCTCAGAAATTTGTGCGAAAAATCGTGGAATTCGAGATTTTAATGTCTTCATAACTTTTTATTGAATCATGAAATGAAGCTTATATTTTGAAGGTCTTCCATTTGAGAGCCGAGCTGTTCCATCAGAAGTGTTCCACGCACAGCGCTAATGTTTCGTGGAAGAAATTTTCATTTCCTTGGAATGCTATTTTAATAGACAGTGAATACAGTACAATGTTTTCCAATACGTATTGTGAAAAGAACCGAAAAATGTGAAGTATCGTTAAGTGGATAATTTATCGCTAAACCCTTCGTTTTGTGTGGATAGTCGTGAGACAGCTGAGAAGGCGAAGCATTCTAACGATTTTTTTGCGAAAGAAATTTATTTTCGACAGCTTCACATATTCCTTCTATTTATTTGTTCTGGGTAGTGCTCGAATTCTGTTTTGGACTGACTGGGGAGATCATCCGAGAATCGAAAGAATTGACATGGATGGCGAGCCGAGTAGTCGCATGACAATCATTGAGAGCAAAATCTCTTGGCCAAATGGTCTCGCGATTGACGTCCCGACGAAGCGAATTTATTTTGCTGACTCAAAATTGGACTACATTGACTTCTGCGACTATCGAGGGAACCACCGACAGCAAATCTTGGCCAACAGCCACTACCTCTTGCACCCGCATTCCTTGGCTGTGTTTGAAGACAAGGTTTACTGGACAGACCGACAACTCAACCGCATCCTGTCCACGCATAAGTTCAGTGGGCGGAATCCTGAGGTTGTCAGTCATTTGGTGTCGCAGCCACTGAGTGTTCACGTGAGCCATCCCGTGCTGCAACCTAAGGATAAGAACCCGTGTGATGGAATCAAGTGTGATCACCTGTGTTTGCTTTCTCCGAGAGAGCCGGGCTACACCTGCCGATGTCACGCTGGCTTCAAGAAAATTGGTACCACGGGCTGTGAACTTGGTGAGTGCAGCACATTTAGGACTTTTGTTCGATCTGCATCCACCTTATGCGAGCAACTCCGAAAGGATAAAATTCATCCGTTGATGCCTCTCCTCTTGATATTTCCGTAGATTTTTGCAATTTAATACAATTTCTTGATTATTCTCCATCGAATTTTCCAGACGTAGTACGATAAAGAGCAGCTCTTAATAAATAGTGAGTACTCTCGGTCAACTGCCGAATTATCAAAAATCATTCGCTAGCCCAAGCTGAGGCATTTCAGTCTGATTTGACTGGCATTACTTAATGCCCGTATCAAGTTCACGGATTCAATGGCAATGAAAAATTCGGAAGAAGAGGGATTGGGAAAAATTGTTTCTTTTCTGCTTCCAGTGACAAGATATTTTTGTGAAGTCCTGAGGCTTCTTATTGCGATTTCTGCTCGTTGATTCAGCTGTCATAAAATTCCAACATCCGGACTCCGGTACTTCATCGTTCGTGGAATAATCATTGCTGTTTTTTTGTGTGTGTGCAGAAAATACTTCGTACCTCATTGTGCTGCAAGAAAATCAGATCGTTGACGTGAACTTGTCTTCTACCGCTGACTCAAGCCGAACTGCAGGTCTGCTGTCACCTGTGGTTGGAGTCGAGCAGGGTTCGAGCATTGAATATGACGACAAGAACCTAGTTCTTTACTGGGTTGAAGTCGATGCGAGAGATGAAGACAATGTAAGTTTTGTGCGATTGCGTTGATTACCGGATTTCCTCAAGTGTAATACTCAATCGGTTGTAACACGCACCTTTATTTTTGTGCCTCAAAAATGCAATGCCGGTAATGCCCACGTTCATCAGTCTCATCTTCAGAATCAGTTCTTTGTTTCTACTCATTTATTAGATGCGAGCTTATTAACTTCTGACGCTTCCGTCACAACATAAATCATCCCTGTTGTTTCCTCGAGCTGAAGAAGTGTTCCTATTTATCTGCTTTTCACATATTGTTTGTGAGTTTATTAAATTCAGCAATTCAAGCCACCGTCGAAGATTTTTCAACAGGATTTTTCCCCGAGTAAAATGCGTCGTATATTTTTTTAAATCATTTACGGTATATCGGATATGTTTTTCGAAAGCTGACGCAATCCTTGTTCAATTTAGGGAACGATCATGTCCATTCCATTTTCGGGAGGCAATAAATCTGCGGTCCTCACAACCGGAGTTGTTGGAGCTCCACATTCGATAGCTTTCGACTGGATCGGCCAAAATATGTACATCGGGAATCGCAAAGCGTCAACGATTGAAATAATCAAAGTTGACGGAAATGTCCACCACCACCGAGTGTTGCTCTCCAACAATGGAAACACGACCGGTGTTGCTTTTCCGAAATCCATCGCAGTCGATCCATATGCCGGGTACGTTCGCAAGCTTATTGTTCTGAAGTTTTTTGCGTACATTTCGGTTCGTTTCGAGTGTACCGACAATAATTCTGAGCCAAGGGAATTGAAATTTCATTCGTTATTGTTGCAGGTATTTGTTCTGGCTGGATGATGGAGGCTTTGCAGTGCCCACGAAACTAGGTCGCATAGAAATGGATGGTTCAAACTCGGCAACGTTGATAAGCGAAGGCATTAACAAGCCCGAGTCTCTTACTCTGGATCGGCAAAATCGAACGATTTACTTCAGCCATGCGGGAGTGGTCAGTCTTCTTTCATTGCATTTCTCCGAAATTGACGCTTATCCGTTGTATCACAGTATTTTCGTGTTGACAATGCCCGTATATTGCAATGCTGGGTACGCGATAGGTTCCTCAAAAGTTTTGCGACGTTTCACCTGGTTATCAACATTTTCGAAACTTCTTTGCTGATTTCGGACAGAATTAGTTTTGCCGGAAATGAAGCTCAAATAAAATTTATAATATATTTCACAACTTTTATGAACAGCGGGAGAAATTTCGAAAAAATTACTGTTCACTGTTTTTGACGAGTATGCTCCGACTGGGCCTGGGGTTTTCCCCCTCAAGTATCTGTCCAAGTGCTTTCAACTGCTGAAACACCTGCATCCACAGCCCAAGTACAGCATATTCCACTTGGACACCCTCGTTTGGAAACACGGACAGAAAAATGTAGAACAGATTACCTAACACTGTGCATTTATTTATGTCCCCGGTCAGTTTTTCTGGATATTTCCCTACCTCTGCGACTAAAAGACCATCTACGAGACGTACGTCTTAGCAATTTGAAAACGCACCCTACTGCGCGGAATCTTTCCGCTGCACAAACTGGGTTTAAAAAATTCGTGTCAAATTTGCTGGGAAGGAAAACAACTTCTATGAATAAAAAATGAATTACCGAAAATTACCCATGTTCTAGATAATCTAGAAGGGATTCACTCATGATTTTCATAAGCGATTCGAAACCTGTGCAACGTCTCATATTTTCAGAGAAAGAGTGAAACTGGAATTGTTCGTTCTTCAGGATATGTAGATGTCACTCGCCTTGAGTCATAAATCACAAATCGCATTCATTGAATTTGGGTTCAAGGATCGTATTCTGTTTTTCCAGATCGAGGTCTGCAATTACGAAGGAAAAAGCCGTCGAACAATCATTCAGGCTGACATAAAGAAGCCCCAGTCGATCTTTTACTACGATCATAAACTTTATGTTTTGGATCCGCTGTATGAAATTATAGCGAGGTACGATCTATCCACAACGACCCCGTCGAATCAAGTTTACATGAGGAGAAATGCGGAGGAGCTCAAGACGCTTACTGTCTTTTACCAGCGTGATCGTATGTTATCTTTTAAAACGGTTTTGGAGAATTTTGTGAATTTGCTTCATTTTTACTTGCCTTATGTTTGCAGGTACGACCCATCATCGCTGCCTGAAGAACAATGGTGGCTGTGAGCACTTCTGCGTTCCGACCGGCGAAAGCACTGGAACCTGCTTGTGTGCAACTGGAAACCAAATGGAAAGCGGCAGTTCCTGCAGACCCTACAAAAGTTTTGCCGTTGTTTCAATGTTGACCACTGCTCGCGGGTATTCTCTGAATGATCACTCCGAAGCTATGACTCCGATTGCCGGTTTTGGTAAGTTTTCATGCCTGTTTCAAGTCATTGGAATTCCTACCGCCTTCGGAAATATTTTTTTACCGCTAAAATGCATTCTTGAAACTCCTGCACTGCTGCTGTTGAGCAGCAGTTTCACGTTCGTCATGAGCGTCACTCAACCGTTGACGGAATAAGCCCGAACTCTCTTGTGATTCATCGAATATAGATGTCACTCACATTTAAGTAAAACTTGAAAGTCTATCTCTGAAGAGCCCTACTGACGGAAGGACGATCGTTTCTCCGGGGTTCTCCATTGATGTAAATGCGCCACCAGCACTGTACCTTGAATGATTTTTACTTGGTTGGTGGCTTGAATGGACAGTGTGGCACTTTCAGGGCTGTAAATGCCAATTTTGATTGATGCCGTATTTTCTCGCTTTTAATTTTCCCACCAGGCCACAACATTCTGCACTTGGATTTCCATTACGAAAAGGAATGGATTTATTGGGTTGACTTCAACAACTTCCAATGGAACGGAATTTACCGAATTCGTCCCAACGGCACGGAATTGCAGCCCGTGGTCGTGGAGAACATTGGAACGAATGGAATTCGTGGTTTGGCCATCGATTGGGTTGCCGGGAATATGTATTTCACCAACGTTTACCCGCATGAAACCCACATCGAGGTGTGCTGGCTGGATGGCTCCTTCCGTCTTGTTTTGAAGTCATCAACCACCGAAGCTCCTCGTCAAATCGCTGTTAATCCCGTCAAAAGGTTCGTAGAATACAAATTTAGTGAAAGATGAAGATGGGGTACCGTCCCTTGTCTGTACGCATGATCTAATTTTTAGAAAAGGTGGTTATTCTCGATTAGATCTGGGTCTATGGTAATTCTGACTTGATTTGACAACTTGTTATCAAGACGAAGGTGTACAATAGTTTTCAGTGATGCATGTACCACACCTGAAGATTCATTGAAATCTGTTTTTTCATCAGATACATTTACTGGATTGATTATGGACAGTATCCATCGATTGGTCGAGCAAATTTGGATGGTTCAGAGTCGACATCACTGATCTCAACCGGAGTGACTGAGCCCCGGGATCTAGTCATCGATATCAACACTCACGATGTTTACTGGATCGATTCGCGTGAAGATTTAATCCAAAAGATGTCCTTCTCCGGATCCAACAGAGACATCGTTCGCCGGAACATTCCCAGCGGCATGGGTTTGGCAATCCTTCAAAGCGATGTTTACTGGGTGGATCGAAACTTGGAGACCATCTTTAAAGCGTCCAAGATTCCAGGCAACAACTCTGTGCCTGTTGTGGTGCGGTCTGAGCTACCAAAGTTGAGAGATATCGCCTTATTTGACGCCATCAATCAACCGCGAGACGAAAGCACGTGCTCGCGATTAGGAAACGGAGGGTGTCGGCAATTGTGCTTTTCGTTCCCTCCGTCGTCGACTGGATCGCGAAGCTCGAAAAAGACGCACGAGTGTCGTTGTGCCATCGGAGTTTTGAACCCGGATGGATCTTGTGATCATCCAAACGAATACCTCGTGTTCACTACCCGGACTGAGCTGCGATCCGTTTTTCTGGATCCATCTGTACCCAGTGCCCCATTGGCGACGATTGGCAACCTGACTAACGTTGTTGGCGTGGATTTCGACTTCGCCAACTCGCGGTTGTTCTTCACGCAGATCCGACCCAAAAGGCGTATTGCTTGGCTTAGCACGAAGAATCCCAGAAGTGGAATCACAGATATTCTTACCGAGGGAATCAATCCTGAAGGCGTGGCTTACGATTGGACTTCGGGCAAGATTTATTGGACCGATTCGGCGAACAGCAGCATTTATTCGATGAACGTTGATGGATCGCATATTGTCCCGATTGTGGAAGTCGATCGACCGAGAGCCATCATTCTCGATCCTTGCAGCGGGTAAATCTTTTTCTCGTCTATGAAAAATGCGGAGTATAGGGGCCTTAAATTGTTTTTCCATGTTTGTGCCTTTCCGGTAATGGTTCAATCATCGTTATACTTCTATATGAATTCCAGGCAAATGTACTTCACTGACTGGGGTCGTTTCGGTACAACCGGGAAAATCTATCGCACTACAATGGCTGGAACTCTGCGGAAAACCATCATTGATGAAGATCTGGCTCAGCCGAGTGGACTGGCACTTGATTACGCGGACAAAAAACTCTATTGGACGGATGCCATTAGAGAGAAAATCGAGCGATCGAACTTGGACGGCTCTGATCGTCAAGTAAGCTTCTTGGATTCATTGCGTTTCTGGTTTGGATTTTTAAAAGTGCTACTTTAAAACGATTCGTTTTCTGTGGCAATTCACAGTTGTGTTATTTCGCGGGAGGCTTTCTGACGATAAAAGACGAGAGAGAAAATCTCTGACAGGATAATTACGCGGTATAAAATGACGCTATTGCCGCACGATAAAAGTACCATAATAAAGAAAAGTTTACAGTTGAACTCGGAAGAATGACATATTTTAAATTTTAGTTTCATGATGGATGCACTGTATTATAGTGAGATTGAATTATATTCCGTGGTCACACAGAGTTGTATTGCATGTTTTCCTTTTAGGTAAAAGTGATGCTGCCGACCTTCCTATCCGTTTGCATACTTGTTTCCCATGAAATATAGGAGTAAAAGAAGCGGAAGATTTTAAATTAGAGTAAAAAAAAGTTGACCTATATATTCGAATTTAGCTCATTATTTGCATCAACAGTCCTTGACATTTTCAAGTTGCAACCTTTTGCAACGATCTCTGGTCTGCTAGATATTCCTGAGAATTTGTTTTGCAAAACTGTTTCATAGCGTCTCCAGTTTTCTCAAGATTGGAAGTTCATTTATGGAAATCCAAGTTAGGCGGTTGTCTAAGAATCTGTATTTTGTTGCACCATAGGTAATTATTTCGGCTACAATTTATCCGTTCGCTGTCACGGTCCATGGGAACTATATCTACTGGACAGATCTGCAACTGCGAGGCGTTTATCGAGCCGAAAAATATTCGGGCGCAAATGTGATTGAGATGGTGAAACGATTGGATGATTCGCCGAGAGATATTCATGTGTTTTCCGAGTCTCGTCAAAATTGCACTTTGAATCCGTGCACCATCAACAACGGAGGCTGTCAGCATTCTTGTCATCCAGTCGGCAATGGAACGGTGATTACATCGCTTATTTTTATTGGATAGACTTGAGGAATTTTTTTGAAGCAGATGGTGCCGCCGAAATTTATATACAGTATTCACAAATTTTGTTGCGGTTATCTGCGGTACTGTATATTAATACTATTTTTTCAAGAATTAACCAACGTATTTGAACTCGTAAGTGCACAAATCTTTCAAGATAAGATATGCTAGTTTAATCGTCTCCTCGAATATAATTCAAATTGATCGAACTTGAAGTCCCAGATATGTTATTTTGTCCCGATCATCCATTTACCGTCATAGCTGTCGATTTTGTGCTTCAAATAAATTTCTCAACCTGCTGTAATTGCCATACGACGGAAAAGACATGTTTTTTTGCTATGATTTGTTTTAGCCAGAATTATAAATGTCTTCCTGCTGATGACGTGAATTTCTTGATTTCTCTCCAGGCTGAATGTAAATGTCCACCGGAAGAGAAGCTTGTGAATGACAACAGGATGTGTGTGCCTCAGAATTTCACTTGCACTGATTCTAAACTGACTTGTAAGAATGGAAAATGCATATCGCGTCTCTGGGCTTGCGACGGTGACGACGACTGTGGTGACAATACCGACGAAGACGTGCTGTATTGTGGTATGTGTCTAAGTGTACCCTGTTCTTCAGTAATTGCATTGACTGTGAACACCGTCTTGTGTTTGTTTGCTGTAGCTTACCACACTTGTCACGAGAATGAATTCAGGTGCAAGAATGGACGATGTGTTTTCAAGAGTTGGCAGTGCGACCACGAAGATGACTGCGGCGACGGCACTGATGAGATGAACTGCGAATATCCAAAATGTGCTGACGGAGAATTCACTTGCGCCAACTTTCGATGCATTCCTATGTCCCAGGTGAGTCATTTTGTAACGATCTGATTTTTTAATCAAATGCGAGGTACATCAGTAAGAAGGCGACTGTGATGAAAAATATTTCTTGACGTCGAAATAACATAGTGCATTCAAATACAGTGGCACCCGCCTAAAGGACTGCTCGCCTAACAGATTTTCGCCTAACAGACCGCCTCTGGGGGTCAGTTTCCACCCCGCCTAAGGGACTGAATCTGCCTAACAGACTTCAGTCTTTTCCAGTGTGTGTGGTGATTACCTCACACCCCCTTTCTTCCCTGCATATTTTGAGTGATCCATTCAAGTGAGAACATGCAAGATAAGGTTGAAAACAGTTTTGATATGAAGTAAAATGTGCAAATTTTTTGGTTGCCAAACAACTGCCCAGCATTCTGCAAACTCCAGCACAACATGGAATGAAAAAAGGTTTTACTGAGCTTGGTCTTTCATTATTCAGTCAAATATGATGCAAAACTAAAGCCTTAGCACAAAAATCAGTCAGTTACACAATATGGGCCATTTGATGTACTAAACCTTTTTTAAGTTCATGACAACAGTGATTCTCAGTGAAAAGTGTGTTGCTTTAATTTTTTTACTTTTATAAGAATTACTGAGAAGTGACTTCTGGGGTTTCTTCTTTCCCCTTTTGAAAGTGTATAAAGCTCAGGTTTGATTCAGTTCAAGAATGACTGTGTTTTCAAGTTTTTTCCTACTTTTCCTCTTACATTTTTTAACTTAAACCACATTAACAATTTTTAACATGTAAACCTAAGGGAAAGTTCAACTTGCCTAACAGACTTTTCACCTAAAGGACTAATCTGTTGCACCAATTAAGTCTGTTAGGCGGGGGCCACTGTATATGTTCAACTTCTTATTTTCACTCTGCTGTGGGACGTAGTATTTGGTAAACAAAAACTTGAATATTGTTCGTGATACTGCACTCTTTTAAAAGCACATCTGAGTAATTTTCCGTGCGCGTTATCGTGTTCTTTCATCTATGAATATTAATTTTACATTTTTTCCTCAACTTAATCCTTTAAATCTTGTATTCGCAGCTCCTGAAAATGTTTGCTCGCACATGTTATTCCAGGTTTGCAACGGAGCTAACAACTGCAAGGACGAGAAGACTTCCGACGAGTCCCTGGAGCAGTGTCCAAATAACACGACATGTCCCGAAGGCCACTTCAAGTGTCGGACCACAAATATTTGTGTTGAGCCACATTGGCAGTGCGATGGAGACGACGACTGCGGTGACGGCTCTGACGAAGAACCCGAAATTTGCTCACAACGCTCATGTCCGAGCGATTCCTTCAGGTGAGAAGTCATGAATACATATCAGAGATTCACCGCGGTCATGAGTTGATCGCTAGAAGCAGCAAGGTAGCATTTATGTAATGAGAAGATCGTTTTGCTCAAAAGTTTATTGCAAGGACTCTAAGTCTCCAATTATCTGGGTGAATGACGGGGCACATTTGCCGGAATAATCATGGATTAAAATGTATTCAGCGTAAAAAGTGCTTTCACCCTTTAAAAAAACTTTCGACCATAGCCTGATTGAAGGTTATTACTGACAGTATCCCCGCAAACCTTGGATTGTTCTAGCCCAGGTATAATCTTATATACAGTATTGTGTAGCAGCTTTTAAAATATTGGAAAATTCCTTTCTTAATTTTTATAAATTATTTAAATTTTGGATATAATGTTTCGATGCCCGGGATATACAGATGCTTTACGCATAAATCTACTAAATCCTAATTTCTAGCTTGTTTTCCTTCACTGCTGGAGATCAAGGGATTCCATAATACTTCTGTTTTGAATTCGTGCGTTTAACTTCCGGTATTGAACGTCGTGACTTTCTTTTCATTTAGGTGCAATAATCATCGATGCATACCCGGAAGCTGGCACTGTGATGGCGACGATGATTGTGGTGACGGTGCAGACGAACCAGAAGATTATTGTTCGTCTGAATCGCGTACCTGCTTCGGAGATTTATACACTTGCGACAATGGAAACTGCATCCAAAGAATGTACATCTGTGACGGTGATGACGATTGTGCGGATAACTCGGACGAAGACGAACGACATCAATGTGGTTCGTAGTTTGATTCCGCTCTGATGAATATTAGGCATTTATTCCGGAGGCTAAATTCCTTGAATTTTTTTTTTCTTAATGTCCAGCTCCGACGAATTTTTATTTTTTCACCGGCGATCTTTTCTATAGCTGCATTGGTTTTCAGGTTATCCTTCAACCGTTATCTAGTTGTAACATTATGGGTTTCGTTATTTATTTATTATTTTATGTATCATTTTTCTCATTTTTATTTTTTTTTACAGAGAGCCGAACGTGTGATCCGGAGACCGAATTCACCTGCGAGAAGAACAAAGCCCTTGGAAGACCTCAGTGCATATCTTTATCGCATGTTTGTGACGGTGATGCGGATTGCGTTGACGGAGCTGACGAGAACTCATCTTTGCCTAACTGTCCAAAGCCAGAACCATGCACTGCTGACCAGTTCCAGTGCGCCAATGGAAGGTGCATTTTCAAGGTACGTGCGGGAAGATACAGTCCACTATTTACTGTTAAATCTTCATATTGCATTTGTGCTTAAATTAAAAATCTAATTCATAAAATTGGAGAATTATTATTTTTTGTCGATCGTGGACTCCGTTTTGAGATGTGTGCTCGGAAAAGGGGAGATGTATTCGATAAAGAATCCTTACTGTTTTGCACTGTTAGTTTATATACGATTTAATATTATTGATTTTTTATATTTTTTCTTCAAGCGATGGCACTGTGACCACGCTGACGACTGTCTTGACGGCTCAGACGAAACCAAAAGCTGCTTTTACCGGAAATGTAACGAGAGCGAGTTTGCCTGTGAGAATTTCAAGTGCATTCGGAAAAGCCATCGTTGTGATGGTGACAACGATTGCGGAGACGGGAGCGATGAAAGGAACTGTGGTACGTTCTATTTTTTTTAGTTACTTGATGATGGTGTCGAAAAGTAAACGGTAACGAAATTATATTGATTGAATCATTCATTTTTTTCGACAGAGGATCTGAAACCTTCCTGTGGTAAGGATCAGTTCACCTGCGCGAATGGTTCCTGCATCCCCATGTCCCTGGTGTGCAACAAAGTTGTTGATTGCCCCGGAGAAGAGGACAAACTAGTCTCGAGCGATGAGCCATTGCACTGCAACGTGAACGAGTGTGACAAGGTGGACTTGAATCAATGTGGGCATAAATGCATTGATACTCCGACAGGTTTTCATTGCGAATGCAACAAAGGATACAAGTAAGTTGTTGATTACACCCTTTATTTATTTAATTTATTCTTAGCATTCACTTTATATCCGCATTGACACTAAATGTTGGAGGCCACGAACTATTTTTATTGGTCGACCTTTCTTACGAAAAGGAAAAAACAAGAGCAGCAGAAAATATTGAATTCTAAAATTAAAAATTTTCAAATTTCGGACGATGATTTTGACCAATGCAAACATTAAAGAACATGAATTAGGTTTATTCGAAATGTCGCCAGGAAGTTTTTGGTAAAATATGACATGGGCTTGATAGTCGAAAATTCAAACAACACCCTTACCGAATTGACCCCGCAAAACATGAGAACACAAGTTGGGAAAAGCTTCCGTGTTTCTATTTTTACCGGAGCTTTTTTCTCCCTACTTTCCCTTGACTTACGAAGATTTCATCTCAGTTGATCTGAAATAAAGTACAATATGCACGCCTCACGTTGTATATACTGTAGTCACTGAGGCCTACCTTCGATTATGTCGTATGTACACCGAACACGAGTTTTTCGGATTTTTATTTTCATTTTTTTATTGTTTTGGGTCGGAAAATCTTTTTTTTTTATTGTTTTGGGTCGGTTTTCCGAAGAAGAGGGGAAGACTATGTGAGTTTTGTATTAAGTACGCTAGTTTTCCTTTCCGTATCCTGAATCCGGGATAATGGGGAATATATTTGGAACGATTCCCTGCACGCTTCACGGATTACGCTTCCCCCGGATTTTGTAGACAATGTACATGCGATCGCGGAACGCCTCGGTGTAGTTTTGCTCTTTTCCTCCGAGTCCCAGCCGTCGCTATTTTTGTGCTGGACTGCATAGAAGCTTTTCTTTTTTTAGGCTGCTTAAAGATGGGAAAGCCTGCGAGGATATCGACGAATGCGTCGAGGAAGCTGGAGTTTGCTCACAGTTCTGCACCAACACCCCCGGAGGTTATTTCTGCAAATGCAACGACACTTATTTCGAACGCGATCCGAATGATCCCTCCGGTTGCAAGCGGTTGGACGAAAGTGAGGAGGCATACTTGGTCTTCACCAACAAGTATTACGTTCGGGCTTTGTCGCTCGACGGGAAGAACTATTACCTCCTGCAGCAGGATCTGAAGAACGTGGTTGCGATTGACTTTGATGTCCGTGAAGAAATGTTGTACTTTGCTGATGTCACGGCAAAGACGATTTATCGGGCCAAGTTCAACCGGACGCACCAGGCTGAGAGAGAGGCTATTATTCGACACGACAGTCACGGACTTGAAGGAATTTCCGTGGACTGGGTGGGCCGAAAGCTTTACTGGCTCGACAGGTAATGAGTTTGAAAATCGTCCCTCGAATTATCGGCTGAATTATTCCGTAATCATCGTCGTGGCATGTTCTTCTTCTTCTGCTTTGAACTTTTCCCTATAAAGTTGAAAAACACAATCTCGGCCTCCCATGAGCACCATTCACTTTGAATTTCCAGTTCCGTTTTTTTTATTCGCTTAAACGCCCAATTGAATTTTCTTCAACTGTTTCTAATGTACATTCAGGCAACTGCTTTGATTATCAATTTTTCTACGGCGTGAGCCTCACAGAAATGAAAATGGTGTTTTCTCCAAACCAGCGCGCTGTCAGTTCGATGATTTTTCCCGTTCTAGAAATTGAACAGCGGTTTTAATGTTGCATTTGAATGAAAACTGCTTTCATGTTCGTGAAAAATACCATAAATGAATGACAGAACCTTGATTGCCAGATTAGATTCAATTAGTACTAGATTGAAATCGTCTATTACAGTAGGGAATAACCCCAGAAATGAATCTTGTGTTTGATCACTTAATTGCCAGCAAGGCTTCACAGAGCTACAGTGAAAACTACGAGCTGTATATTGATTTTTCAAATATTCTCAGCACTTTTTTTTCTAACGAAGATCCTTGTTCCAACAGCTGTTGGGAAGAGATTGTCACATGATCCCATACGTTTGACATTAACACAAATCTAGATTTTTCAAGTTCGTTTTTATTATAAAATTCTTTGCTTCTATGCATACTTTTCTTCAATGAATGTAGGAATTCATCTCTGACACTCTTGTCCGCCGTTGTAGCTATTTGATTTCGTAATTATTTCCCTTCAGGTCGAGCAAAACGTTGGAAGTTGCAGAACTCAATGGCACGAACAGACGTACGCTGAAGGTCGGTGGCGGAATTTACGACCCACGTGCTGCAGCGGTGCACCCTGGTATCGGTTGGCTCTTCTACACCGATTGGCAAATTCATTCCTACATCGGGCGAATCGGCATGGACGGGTCAAACTTCAGCATGATCTTGTCCCAATCTGACAAGATCATTTGGCCCAATGGGTTGACCATTGATTTCTTCAGCAATAAGATATTTTGGGGCGATGCTCACATGGATTACGTTGCGTTTGCCGACTTCGACGGAAAGAATCGGAAGGAAATCGCCAACGGGGCTGTTGTTCCGCACGTTTTCGCCATGACAATTTTCGACGACAAGATGTATTGGACGGACTGGAACAAGAAGGCTGTGCTTAGCGGACATAAGTTCAGGCTCCAAAATGATTGGAAAATTATGAGGAACATGACCCACCGTCCTTATGATATTCAGGTTCGTTCGCAATATTTCATGCCAAGATTGCGTGCGTAAATGAATGCCGCTTTTGTACCGCCTCCACCACATTTTTCATCTCGCATGCTATGCGGTAATTCTTCGGGTTTCACGATGTACTACGATTAATGATTAAATGACAAAAAATAAACATACGTAACTCATTCGGTACCTCTACAACATTTAAAAACTCGATGAATGATCAATGAAGATGGCCTGTTCATCCGAGGGTCTCATTAATTATCCCAGACAAAGAGACGCATCGCTGCAATGTAAATCATTCACTCCAAAACTGTCCTGTACACATTCGCTAACATTGTGTAACAGCGTATCGTCAACGTGAATTTATTGAAACCTCACCATGAAATTTTCGAAATCAGCACAGAATTCGGAGGAATAAGAAGTTCTTGTAATGTTCAGATCGAGAGGGAAGATTTTTCCCTTGCATTTACTCCCCCCCCCCCTTTTTTTTTTCTTACTGGGGAAAGTGCGACGATAGGGTGAATACTACTTGATGGATGTCGAAATGGTATGTTCAATGATGAGGGGTGTAAATGTCGTTCAGAAAGAAAAACTAGATAGCAATCTGACCGGATGTGGAGTAAGAATATATGAGGTCAAGATCGTGACATCATGTCGTTATGTGCTCTGCAGGTGTACCACGCGTTACGACAGCTGAACTACACTAACCCTTGCGGCACGAACAACGGAGGTTGCTCTCATTTATGCCTCCTCTCGCCGAAGGCTGACAGCTCTGTTGGGTACAAATGCGCGTGTCCGAATCAGTTCTACCTCGCTCCAAATGGCAAAGAATGCATCGCTAATTGCACTTCCGATCAGCATCGGTGCAGCCACGGTGACGACCGGTGTATCCCGCACTTCTGGAAGTAAGTGTCGTTTGTTTGCCTTCTCTCTGCTGATGAAGCCTTCGAATTCCACCGTTGAATTTTCATTGAATTCTGCCTGTAACACTTCCGGGTATTAAAAAAAATCTCTTTCCTATACGTGCTGTTATTTTATAACGGAAGAGGCACGCCAGTTTTTAAAGGTTGCGCATCCTGAATTATTCCTGCTGCCCTCTTCCCATTTTTCTCTTCTATTTCTGCCCCTTCATCGGAAGATTCCTTTGATATTACGCTTTAAAAATTTCGGAGTGTTTGTGTGATCTTGATCTCGTTCGTCTTTTTCACTCACAAAGTTTTAAAGTTGAAAAAGTGAGCGCGTACCTTTGCGGCAAAAGTTATCTACAATTTTGAACATCATTGGGCTATGCGTAGCTTCACAGATTTGGCCTTCACTTCTCATTTGCCGAGATGGATTAATTTTTTTTAATAATTACCGGCAACCATGTGTGATGTACATTACTCGAATTCATCATGTTGGCGCGTGAAATAATGTAGTGAAATCTTATGTTACAACGAACTGCAGGGACTTGGAAAAATATTTGTTCTTCATTTTTTTTATTTTGAAGAAAGGGGTCATTGCAAAATCCTTGAATGAAGCTGAAGAAGTTTCAAGAAGAACATGATGCTCTATATTTTTTGCTCAGCCAAATTTTCTTCACGAAGAAATTTTGATTTTTATAATAATCCTGCACCAGTAAAGATTTTTCCAATTAATCTGCCGTTTATCAAATAATCCCCATGGCCCAAGCACAGAAACAGGGCAAACAATTCATTATACAGTACTTAGATTACAGCAGGTGGAAATAAGTTTATTGAGATTTGATTTTATGACATGGCTCCTATGAAAAAACTGCTGGGACTCAGACAAGAATCGCTCTACTGACAATGTCGTTGAAAAAATATTCGTTGCAACAGAAGTTTATTACAGTATTTCAAAAAGCTGATTCAGCTATACAGTACGCATATCATATTTATGTACGCGTTTCCTCTCCAAAACTACCCAAATATTGGCTTTGTTTCGCGATTGGTCGTTTTCTGTAGTTAGATTGTTCCAAGCTGACGTTCATAACAGGTAAATTTTAATGCATAAATGCAAATTCGCTTGTGGTGCATCCGCATCGATGGTGCATCGTGCATTTTCACTGACAACAAGTTTTTAGCATCATTGCAGTTGTCGTTTTGACATAATTACTATCCCTTTTGCTATCAAGGTGTGACGGAGAAAAGGATTGTCACGATGGCAGTGACGAGCCGGCAACGTGTCCGAAGCGAGTTTGCAAATCGGGTCAGTTCCAGTGTGCGAATACCAACTGTGTGGCTCCGACGCGATTCTGCGACGGAACTGATGACTGTGGAGACGGCAGCGACGAAAAGAACTGCGATTCTGCCTGTCCCGAGCACCAGTTCAAGTGCTTGACTTCTGGAAGATGCATTCTGGAGGCTTGGAAATGCGACGGTGATGCCGACTGTGCCGATGGCAGTGACGAGGATCCTGCTATTTGTCACGGTATGAATGCCCTTGAAACATTATTTTTTCCTCTAGAGGATTCTGTAATGAGCATGTTTTGGATGCAGTAGATCATCCAGTTGAACATTTTAAGTTTGGAAAATGGGAAAGCTGAATTGTAGTTTCCAAGACAATCATATTCTCCCCGTGTCAAAATCAAAACGTCAATATTTCGCAATTTTTCTTGACACAAAATAATTGAATATAAGAAACTGGGATCCTGAATGAAATCATCGTGTAAGAACAAATGAGCCCTATTGGCGATCAAGGGTCCAAGAAAGCTAGTAAAAATCTCAGAGAACACGTGATTGCTCCTTTTACATCCGGCCCCGAAGTAGAAGAACACTTCAAAATATGTGGCACAGCTTGTGTACGAAGGACCGTGGTAATACTACTTGATTTTGAATGATTTATTGATTAATTTTTTATCAAGCTTGGAGAAAATTTGAAGCCTAATTCAAGCAAGGGTGGATTACCTCTGGGGCGCTCTTACAGAGTTTGGTGAAGATATAATTTTCTTTTGAATACTTTGCATGACCTATTTCGCTTGCCCTGACTTCTGACCTCCAGGTGCATTTCTATCCGAAATACTAAAAATTTGAATTCTCAATTTTCAGTTGAACCCTGTGACAATTCAACGCAGTTTCAATGCGACAATGGAAAATGCATTCCCAAGTTGTGGCGTTGCGATTACGATAATGACTGCGGCGATGATTCTGACGAACCCGCGCATTACTGCAGGTAATTGTTCTTTTAAAGAATATTATTAAGAGGCTTGCTCGATTTTCGTGCAAGAGAAATGGAATGCCGATGTATGTTTTCGAAAAAATTGATGATTCGCTGCCTATTCCCAAGGAATCAACCGTGTCCCGTCGGGTGGAGTCGCTGTCCCGGTTGGAATAATTACAGATGCATTCCGACTTATCTGTTTTGTGACGGGAAAGATAATTGCCGCGACGTCAGTGACGAGGATCCAGAGCACTGCCCTAAATGCAACCCGGAAACTGACTTCCAGTGCAAAAATAAGCGATGCGTACCGAAGTGAGTCAGCGTTTTCAATTACCGGATTTCGGTTACGCAAGTTTTATACCCTCCGTCAGGAATTTTTCACACGACGTTTTTTTTTCCTTGTTTCACAGGCGGTCAACATGTGATTTCGCCAACGACTGCGGCGACAATTCCGACGAGGACCGAGAAATGTGCGAAGGCCAGCATAGAGAATGTTCCGAGTCTGAGTTCCGCTGCTCCAACAGCAAATGCATTCCGAATCGTTGGAGGTGTGACCATGATAACGATTGTGGTGACAACTCCGACGAAACTGACTGCCAGGACTGGAAGTGCAAGGTTAGTTTCGTATTCTGGTCTTCGAAACTTCTTGTCATGATTTCTGCTGGCAGATATCATGCGTAGAAATTCCTCACGAGCGAGTCAGCGGGATTTGCTGCCAAAATTGAACGGAGAGAATGTGCCCCTCTCCAGGGTAAAATATCGATTTCAACTGTTACGACGTACGAACTCAGTACTGTAGTTAGTCAAGGGCATTATCAGAATCTTAATTTATCTTCAGCGTGACTCCGGGATTTTCTTCGAACTTATTTAGGTGTTGCCTATTTATTCTTTGTTGGTCTATCTGAAGTGATTGGATGTGTTAAGTTGGTCTGGACGAGTATAGTTCCGTTTATGTTTCGTTATTTGAGGATTGGTCGGCTTGTTTTCAAGTTGGGGATCCAGAGGGAACATTTTTATGACGTTCGCATAAAAGAGGTCTAGGATTGAAGCGAGAAGACAATTTTCTTGGGAAATTTTGCTTCATAGAAGGTAACAATAGGTGTGATGAAAAATTCTCTGTCACTGAAATTGGAAACTTTTCTATCTTTTACTCGACGAGTTCGTGGGGGTTGTTGGTTTTGTGTTCTCAATTCTAAAAAGTTTTCATTGAAAAATAAATGCTTACGATTTCGCTTATTCCGACGTTCAGGATACAGAATTCCAATGTGCCAGCGGGCATTGTATCAAGAAAGAGCTCCATTGTGACGGTTCTAAGGATTGCCGCGACCTTAGCGACGAAATTGGATGTCCGACTCGTTACCCAGAGGGTCGGTACTGCCCGAAAACCTCGTTCGAATGCAACAACACGCTTTGTGTTCAACACTGGGCCGTCTGCAATGGTCGCGACGACTGTGAGGATGGTTCTGACGAAGCAGAGGATCAATGCCGTTAGTAACGAAATATGAATATATTTTATCATTCTAAAGAAAAAAAGAGCATTTTACTTGGTCATTTTTCTAACCCAGCAGTTTCGAAAAAGTAAGAACTACAAAAGATGATGAACGTTTTAAGTTTATCACGCATTTTTCCGCGCTTTTTAATGACAGCTTTTCTTTGAATTATGCAAAATTCTCGAAACGGCAAAACTTCAACAGCAATGACAGTAGTTCAGGTCGCGTTAAAAAAATAATTTTCTTCGAAAACGTCAAAAAGCTTTTTAAAATAGAAACGCTTGGGAAGAGTTGTTCTGTCAGCCTTATGAATGTTTACAATAGGCCTGACCACTGATGAAGACATGCATCACATTGATGGTATTGCTGTACATCCCTGATAGTTCACCTTCTTTTAATATTTTATCGTCTTCATATTTATCTAAACGTGAAAGATAAATTAAAAAGTCGTCCCAATTAAAAAGAAAGTTGAAGAAAGCTCTTGATCCAGTTGGAATCCTACATTAACAGTGTGCGTGAAACGGGCTGAGTTTACGAAGATGCAAGGTCCGGTTGCTGTACATTCCATGATTAGGTCTTCATAGTTTTTTACCTGTATGCATTCAATGTCATTGATTGATTTTGCAGCGGATGCGGTGAAGTGTGATGGACCACACAGGTTCAAATGCGATAACGGTAAATGCATCAGAGGTTATCACCTGTGCGACGGACACGATAATTGCGGCGATGGCAGTGATGAAAACGACCACGCTCGCTGTCATCCGGTCCGAAATCGTTGCTACCTCGGTGGCTTCAAGTGCTCCAATGGGGAATGCGTGTCCATTGGGAATGTTTGCGACCGAAAGGATGACTGCGGGGACAATTCTGACGAAATCGGTTGCTGTGAGTAAAGTTCTCGTGAAACGCTCGATGAATAGAACTATAGTATAACAATAGAAATGGTTTTAAACCTCTGTAACTTCCCTTCTCCAGTCACAAACCAACGGTGTCAGTCCGGCAATGGAACTTCGCTATGTAGCCAATTCTGCTGGGAATTGCCTTTCGGAGGAGTCACGTGTCACTGCGAAAACGGCTACAAGGTGGACCCGGAAAATCCAAAGCTTTGCATAGGTATGATTTTGTTTACGTTCGACCATCACACCGTCCGCAGTTACTGCGTTTTCGAAGTATTTTTTGTGTGAAATCCTCAAGCGTACCTGTATTAAGTAACTATACTTATTGAAAGAATTTTAGCGTCGGCGGTATTTCACATAGGTGAAGTGAAAATATCACACGCCCGACATTTGTCTTGAATTTAAAGTTTTCTTTAAGTGACATCTGTGTCTGTGAATTTGATTTTGGATTTGCTGGGTTGACAAAAATTCTACCGGATGTGGTTCATTGTCATTCCTGCCATCCTGGCCAGTAGCTCGATCAATGAATCTTATTAAATTTATGACCAATTATTGCGACGGAACTCGGGGAAAAAAATTATCGAGATTGTTGAAGAAATCTTCTCTTAATTCCATTGAGTTACACGATCTAGGGTAATTTATTTTCCAGGTGAGAGCTCAATTGATTACTAATGCCGATTTTTTCCCATTGCGTATACTGTATACGTGCTACGTGCTTTCCAGGTTTAAATTATTCCCGTTACCTCCCCGGTTGCTTAGTATTATGTTTGTGGCAAAGCCGTCTTTTCGCCTTGGTTCAGACATGAATTAAAACTTAGATCGAAGGAGGGAAACCATATTACGAATCTACCGCCGTGGAAGTCAATTTCTTCTACATAATGGCTGCCTTTTTTTAGAGAAGCTCAGTTCTTGCCGCGTTCTCCCATACTTTTCAGGAAAATTACATATTCTTTGTGAAACCTTGTAAATATGATTTTTTTTTCTTTCAATTTTATAGACGTGAACGAATGCGCGGATCTACGACACAACTGCTCGCAGGTGTGCACTAACACGAAGGGCTCATATGTATGCTCTTGCCTGAGTGGCTACGACAAGGCAGCGGAGAATTGCATCGCGAAAGGAGAAACCCCTGCTATCATGTTCACCAATGGACCGGAGATACGCAGTCTAATACATAAAGAGCAGAAGTACGACGATATTTATCGGGGCGCGGTGAAAATCGAAGCTGTCGATTTCGACCCCGTGAAGAACGTTGTTTATTGGTCTGATTCTTTCGAGAAGGCTATCAAACGTTCTTTGATCCCGCAGCGTGGCAATGACGCTCGCGTCGGGTTTGCCCAGGACTTGAACTTCAAAGGTGAGACTTTCTGCTGCTGCTCCATCTCTTCGCTGTCTTCTCAATTCTTAATCCAGGAAGGTCTCTGCTGGTACTCTATTATGAACCCACTTCTTTTTTAGATGTAGTGCTGAGCAACATCTGCCGTCGTGCTATAGATACACCTGCGAAATGTAACTCTCGAAAATTGTTTTTGTTTGCGCGATTCTTTTTGGATTGCTTACAGTTTTCCCCAACCCGTGGTCCGCGGAAGTTTTTTTGCCGGTCCGCGGTAAATTTTCTTTAGCATAAGAATTTCATCAAAAATAGCAATGAAGGACGTTACCGTATCTTTATCTGAAATTTTGGAAAGACAATGGCAGTTATAATTATCTCATGAAAAATAAATGTTGGCTTTTCTTTTATTAACACTTCAGACAAATTTTCACCTAAAAAATATTATTTTTAGTTTTGAGAAACCTTTCTTCAAGCCCACCTTTCTAACTTTTTGAAGAAATTCCACTATATCTGCTTCTTTGTTTCTTAACGGAGTTAGTGCAAAAAATCAGTAACTTTTAAATATCTGCCATAAACTATCAAGAACATCTTTTTTGAGTCTGCAACAATTTTATGAAACTTTGCCACTCCACCGAACATTTTTTGGAAATTGGCCGGTCCGGGAAAAATTTTACCGAAATTTGCTAGTCCGTGGTCCCGAAAAGGCTGGGGAACACTATAACTAAACTATTCTTATCAACACCAACAAATTCCGAAACTGCTCGATTTTCTTCACTTGGATATGAAATACGTATAAGTCGCCTGAATTTTGTCAAGGGTGTTTCTGTATTGGACACAGTCAAACTAGGATATGTTGGCTGAGTTAGTTTGTGCTGCTGACTAAGCAAGTTCTGGTTCTGTAATAGTGATTCTGGTGATGTAACACACCTACCTTGTGATCTCCAACGTTTTACGTTGACAAAACGGTCGACATATTGAATGTTCCCCTGTGGGATTCTAACAAATGATCCGAGGTAGTGGAAAGGTTTTATTGGATTTGAAGATCCTCATTGTAGTTGTCAAATGCTCAAATCTTAAATTGTCTCTCTTTTTTTCACGGGCTAAGAAGCTAAATTGAATTTATTTCAAGGTACGGCGAAGCCTGTTGGTCTGGCTGTCGATTGGGTCGGAGAGAACCTGTACTGGACAGAAATGCACAGGAGCAGCAACGCGAATCGCGGTCGCGTGGTGGTCGCCAAGCTCGATGGACGGTACCGTCGTATCCTCATTTACACTGGCCTGGAAGCCCCAACGTCTATTGCAGTCGATCCTGAACTGGGTACGTGGAATTCTTGTAAAAATTTCGCTTTGCTCTATGGTCTGCTTACTTATTTGCCAATGTCGTGATTTACAGATTTCGTTATTTATTTGTTTTCCCTTCCGCGAATTCTGTAGCTTCCGAAGATAGTTGCTTTAGTTTTCTTGTGATTTTAATATTCTAAGTAATCTTAGTCATGGTGTTATAAATATTTTTTGGTGCTGTAGGATTATAAAGCTTCTTTCATGTGTTGCGGTAAGTTTTCAAGTTTTTTGGAAATGTTGCAGGCTTTATTTAATTTTTGTATTGTATTACAGTATAAGACCTTCGAATTCTATCCTCGTCCATCATTACGAGTACATTATTGAGCAAAATATCGCGGTTTCATGGCTGCAAAACGTGATGTTTTTGTGTTATCTTTCTTCGATGGTTTTGGAGCACGTATGAGGAACATATGCAAACAATTCAAGTTTTTTTGGATGAATGAAAGCATTGTTTTCAGTGGTTAATTTTTGATGTATTAGTTACGTTACTTTTGTCCGAATGCTTGTGCGGAACAATTTGTCCATTATGTTCTTTCTATAGCCACGGCGAACTTTGTGTAACGTTACATATGACGATATCACCCTTTTCGGTACTCTACAGTATTTTATTTATTCAAAAGTTCTATGTGAATTTGATGGATCAATTTAATTAGCTAATTTAATTTTTGATTTATTTATGGAGACATGTTTTGACTTCTCGTGCGACGACAAAGATTAATGAATTTTTGAATTCACTTCAGCGTGGTCTCATATACAGAAGAGAAGCAAAAGTTCTTCAGCTGCATACGGGTGCAGTCTCTCTACAAAATAATTCAAGGGATCATAAAAAATTCATTGTAGAGAACCCGTGTAACATGAGCAGAGAACCCTAGGCCTATGGGACCAAAGAAAAATTCGTAATACTGTACAGAGAAAATCGTTATAGAGAAAGTACACTTCTAGGTGTATGGTGGAACTATTGACAGTGCAGTAAAATACAGTAAATAAAAATGTCTTCTTTCATCGATTTCAGGCATCATGTTCTGGTCTGATGCGGGCCCTATCCCGAAGATCGAGACGTCATGGATGGACGGGAACAGGCGCAAGCCGCTCGTGACGTCGAATGTGGGTTACCCTACTGGCCTGACGATTGACTACGCGATGGACCATTCGGTGTTCTGGGCCGACGCTCAGTTCAACACCATTGAGATGATGCGCAAAGACGGCACGGGCCGGAAGACGATAATAAGCGGCGACAAAATGAAGCACCCAGTGTCACTGGATGTGTTCCAGACGCAGCTATACTGGGTTACTCGGGAATCCGGCGAGATGTACACGCAGGACAAATTTGGCCGGGGTGTGCCAGTATTAATCATGAGCGATCTCGTCAATCCTAGCAGCATCAAGGGTAAGCATCGGTCTTCATGCGTTCTCACGTTTTTCTTCTTTTTTTTCACCATGCTGAATTGCCCTTGTATTCCTGAAGCCTTAAGTTTCGCATCAATGGAAATCACAGTATTGGATTTTGTCTCGAAATTCATGGCAACACTGTATAGTCATCAGAATGCGCTTCAAATGTAAAAGGAACTTACAAAGAAATGAGATATTCTCCAAAGGAATCGCTGAATTACAGTATATGGATTAGTCATGTTGTAAATCTTTGGTGAAAGACGGAAGTTATCGACGAATTTGTGTAGCCGGCGTAAAAAGAGTTTTGCGGCATACTAAATTCAATTCATAATTCCACCCTCAACCCAATCACTCGTACAGCATTGTGAATTATTCTTACTTCCGTAACTGTAAATCATATTCACTCAGGATGAGGGATCCGGGTTTATTGATATGGATGCCTGTGTCCGGATAATTAATATTATCGATGATGTTATTTTTCAAGATTTTATTGAATTTATTAGAAAAAGTTGCTGTATTCAACGATGACCTGAAATAATTTTACTGACTTTCCCGATGATCTCGAAGTGCATTATTATAGAGGCAGGACGGGTTTCACGTCTGTAAGAAAAATATAAAAAATCGCATTCAATTAGGGAATTGAAAATAGTGCAAATGAGAAAATCAAAGATTCGTAGACGGAAAAAATCAGCGAATTATTTATTTAAATAAGTAACATTCCTGAATGTGCATGTGACCAACTACCGTCAGCGAAAACAACCTGAAGTGGAAAATGTATCGCTGAGAATTTTATAAATTTCTCAGTAAATTCGAAACCAGGCTGTTCAAGCATTGAATTCTAGCTGTGTGAAATGTGCGTACCGTAGATTGAGAAGTTGTTATCTTCGTACATTACTTTAATTTTTTTATTTTTCTTCCGTTGTTTGAATCTTCGTGTGACGCTCTTTTATTTCGCTGCTTTCAGTTGTCCAAACGCAGAAGTACAATGTGTCGCTGCCAAATCCTTGCGCTGCTCTGAAATGTTCGCACATCTGCCTGATTGTGCCCCGCGGAGCGAAATGTGCGTGTCCCGATGGGGACTACAAGCCGATTGTCTCAGATGAACACCGTTGCGAAGCTCGTAAGTTCCAAATGTTCATATTTCTTGTGCGGGTTCGAGTGAAATCGGGCAAACGATTGAAAACTATGCGTCGAAATTTGATGCAACAAAAAACTCCCGAAGACAAGTGAAAACATTTTCTATTTGTTCCTCGCATGAAAACGTTACTCGTTTTTACTGTGATTTTTGAAATATTCGTTTTCTCTCCGCCTCTAGCTTGACAGCTGATGATCCCATAGCTTCAAAAATATTCTTTCACCCATCTTCTATTTCTACGTTCAATATAGAAAGTTAATTTCCTTTCGGGTCCAGTCCTTCGTTTAGCGATGATAATTATGAATTTTTTTCGATGCTTTTAAAGGGAAATTACTTGGATTGAAACGAATTTTAAAATATGGCCGATGACTTATCCTATACAGTAAATTTTTAAGGAACTTCGAGACGAGTCACTGGATGGTTTTTTATCTATTTGTTTTAGATATGTGTCGTCTAAACCTCTGTCATAAATTTCCTCTAAAGAATGCTGCCGAGGTGCTTGTCAGTCTCCATTTCCATGCAGGGGAAATATTCAGTAGAACTGCGATGATCCGGAATATTGACGGGTTGCGACAATTCGGAACTGTAAATAATCACGTCAAGACGAGTAATCTAATTTAAAGTTGTTTCATTACCTCAAGAATTTGAAGAAAGACCTGTAATATTAGTGACGCTCCTACTTTTCTTAAAATTGCATTAATCAGGATTATTGTCTGATCAGTGGGACGTAAAGCGGCTCAAGTTGATACAGTATTTGATATTTTAACTTGACGTTTAGCCTATAGGCGCGCTTATTCGTATATCTGAGGATAATCCGATTTTTTTTTAATATGCGCGTATCATTGACTGTTACCAATCCGGAAAATGAAGCCCAACGACTTCCTGAAAACGACGGAATTTTTTTCATGCAATTAATTTCAGCGTCGGAGAGAGCATTACCGGACCCGCCGGCGTGTCCTTGCGAAAATGGAGGTTCTTGCACGATGGAGGAAGACGGAACGCCGAAGTGCGTGTGTCCAGACTCGTTCAGCGGACCAGACTGTGGGGTTCACGTGGCCCGCAGCAAGCTCCTGCAGACCAACACGAGCATTGCTGAGGCTGTCGCGATTCCAATAGTCATCATCCTTGTACTTGCTGTCACAGTCGGAGTATACTTCGTCCTGAAGAAACGCAACTTGTAAGCTTTATTGTGTCACTTTTTGAAAAATCCGTGAAATAGCTGTCAATATAGAGGGAAAAAAGAGGCATGTCTGAATCAATTTTTTTTTTTTTTCAGTGGGAAAGCTGGACCAAAATCCGGCTTGTCGTCGAGTGTTTCCTTCCGCAGCGGAAGCAATGTCGAGTTCGGGCATGGTGCTAACGACATGGGCTCGGTAAGATTTCTATAAATTTTACGTTTTGTTTAGGCATAATGTTGCAAAAAGGTGCAATAGCTCTCCCCCATCCTCACCTTTTTTTCTTTCAATCGTGAACATACCTGAAGATGGTGTGCGGCCTTGTAATGCCCATCACTGCTCACAGATTTGAGTAAATTTTTACATTTTTATATTACTAAAAGCCATTTTGCAGCTGCACATACTGCCATGCACTTTCAAAATCATTGTTTGCTTTTTCAAAAGAAAAAATCAGGATGCTTCCTGCATTCTATTGCGTCTTTCGTATGCTGCTGGTCGAATCCTGGATTCACCGGTAAATTCCATAATATTATGCGTGGAGTTAATATTTCCTTGGAATTTTGATTGTGAAGCCAGAAGTCCTAGAGAAAGAATTTCCCGAGTTCGGGCATGGTGCGTCCCAAAGTATTTTACTAACTTTCTTCCTTGCAATTCGCAGGGCGATGGACAGACGATCACGTTGGGACCAACAGGAGCGGAAGCTGGCAAGAACTTCAGCAACCCGATGTACGAGGAAATCACGCACATGGAGACTGAAGCCGGTGGCGGGTCGCTGTACCACACGGTGGACGACCTGTACCAGCCGCCGCCGGGAGCTGGCAAGGGCACCGCTGCTCCGGATTTCCCCAAGACTGGAGCTGTGATCATGCCATCGAGTGTTATTCAGAAGTCCTCGCCTCAAGTCCTCATCAAGCACAAGGAGCTGGACCCCTCTACCGTTGACACCGGCAAGGACACCCAGCAGCTGGTTGAGGAGGACGGAGGGTCCGAGTGCTGATTTCCTTCCGTCCTTTCCCCGGTTTACCTGTCGCTCTCGCTTTGGTTCCTTCCACGAATCTCCTATATTTATCACACGTGCTTTGATGTTCGCTGCCGCGCCGTTATTTCCCGAAAGCGAGAAGGAAACATTTTTGATTCAACGGAGTGATTGTCATCTAGTTTTGTTTTTTTTAAACCGCTGGGAAAAAAATGAATAAAATGGGAGTATGTTGAGCGGCAGACTCAGTGCCTTTTCTGCGGTCGAAGTGCAACATTTTGCGCCAGATTTTTGGGATCAGGATAAATTTTGCAGTTTCCGTGGATCGCCATGGATTTCCGTATTCTTCGGCGAGAGTTCGTAGCTTTGTCTTTAAGGCACAGGACTACTGTAGGTAAAATATTCTGTTGACTCGTCCGTAACGGAAGGAAATTTTAATCTATCCTCAAGAAGATGCGTTCAAAACGTGCGCATTGCAGATGATACGATATTTTTTACATTCCTGGAGATATTTTTTTTCCGTGGGTCACGATTTCGTCCAGTTGATTGGTGGTTTCTACCATATGTGATGACAAATTATTCACGCGCATTGACGCAATCCCGGAGAAACGAGCTGAGCGTGAAAAAGTCATTTTCCTGTTCTGATCCTGTGCTTATTTTTTTGTTTGTTTTTTCGCCGTGATCTGCATCACGAGAACTTTGGATGTCCGTGGCGTGTTTTAGCGAATGATGCTGTCTTCCCGGCTCTCGACATTTGTTTGTGACGGAAGTGTTGACCTGAGAAACCTTTAAGCGAGGACCCGTGATTCGGGGCGAGTTTTGGCGGAGGCCTTTTTCGAAGCGGTCCGATATTTCTTGAAGTGGCCTCGTGGTGATTAAACTGGATCATTTCAGATGATTCATTAATTTTGTTTCTTTTTCTTGTATGTTTTATAATTTTTTTCGAGTTTGACCGGTTGCAGACGCTTTGGGAATTTCTGGGAAGTGGTGTAGCGATATTTTTTTCATTCGATTAGATGCAAAACGACGCTTAGGGCTCTTCCCAGTGCTGAGGGATCAAGTTTTGCGTTTCAGGTCGGACGATTTGGACGTGACTTGCCCCCGGGGAAGATGGTTCTCGCTTTCGTTGGATTGCTTATATTTTTTGGCGATGTGACCGCGGAAATGAGCTGCTGCTCTGCTTGATGTTCAGCCGGCTGAGTACCCATACGATTAGGCCCGTTGGATGCGTTCGATGTGAGGTTTTTTTCCCCTCAAGTTTGGCGTTTGCGTTTCTGGTTGATCAAGACCCGTGGTTATGTAATTTTTTGTTGTGTCCGCGAAGAAGGCATTATCGCGATCAGTTTATTGTGGAGCCCGCGATGGAAGAAAGCACGACGATTTGGGATACCAGTGAGTCTCGTGGAAGTTGTCGGTTCAACCTGTCCCGCTTTCCGCAGTGCCATCTCCCCGTTTCGTCTCGGTCCCTGGTGCGTTAAATCTCCCGATCTTCGGCTCCGTCTACAGTTTCCGTCCTACTGAGAAAAAGAAAATACGGAGAATTTCTTGTTTTTTTTTTTATCAACCCACCAAAGGTCATCAAGAATTTGTGAACATGTCTGTAAGAATAAAGGTGTAAATCTTTTTCTTATTGCATCACCAAGTGTCCAGCGTGATCTCTTCATGGTTCAGCAATTCTGACAGGGTAAGCTCGTGACTCGTGCGTAATTTTATGTTACATATACCCATATCCACTTTTTCAACTGGGCAACCTCGCACAAAACAAGCGTTTATAATTATAAAAACGAAAAATTTCCCTCCACATCATAATGAGTTCCTGTACTACTGTATCTTTGACTTTCTTGTTGAATTATATGCCGTCAGGGTAACAGTTATAGCTAGTGCATTTCCAACTTTTTTTTCGGGAATGGGATAAAACTATTTTTTATAAGGATTACTAAAATGGGAGTGATCCTCGAAAATTATTCATGGAAAAATGGGCCTGGTCTTCGCAAATGAGGGAATTCCATGCATGGTGCCCACAGAATAGGAAATGTTATATCTGGCTTGCAAGAAATTAGCGTAAAGTTTACCCAATTTCTACCAGCACGCAATAATGCCCACCAACGAAATTCTCATGTTGTGACTTTTAATTGCGAAAATCTGTCCTTTATTTACAAGGAAAACGAGACAATCAAATACTGCACCGCTTCCTGTTCAAACTTTTCGAAGTCCAGCTGCTGATCGGTTACTGAGGTCATGTTTGCCATGAATTAGTTACACTGATGGGGCGACCCCGTTTTTCAAATCCCCTGTAAATACCTTGTATGTACCATTCGTATGAATATTGAATGGTACTGTATTTTTAATAAGATCACCGAGCTCATATAAGTACAGTATGTGCAAGTCTTCAATAAGGCATGTGCATGAAGTATGTGCAAGGTCTTCATGCTGGTGATTCGTGAAATCATGACCGTTGCATGAATTATGCCGACGCCAGTCTTCATCGTTGTTGCCTCATATACACGTGTACATAATTATTCCGTCAGTCACATGCATGCTTTCATTTTTATTACACTTCTCGACGCAATGCGGTACATATTATCCGACAGCTTCACAGCTCGAATTGAACCAGCATATGTGCGCGTGTGTTCCTCGGATGGGAACGTTATATGCTTTCAAAATTATGAGCTGTTTTCATTACGGAATGAGAACCTTTTCAGCAGTGATTCTGGGAATCAAATTTTTTTTATCTTTCAGGGGGATCTTGTTTTTGCTCCATTCATAATAACCATATACGTATGCAGAAATGCAATAGATCGACTCCTGGAAAGTTATTCACTTGATGTCTGGACCCGCCTGGACAGAGCGCGCATTTCCAGCTTGCCGATCACGGAATGGCCTTTTCGTCGTATGTTAGGAAGGATGTCCGACTCTCTCAGAAAGTGCATTAATCATCACTACGTCAGTAAAATATTTCTTCGTCCCCGGTCGTGAAAAATGAGGTCAAAGTATGCACTGAATGCCAAGTACAGTATTACCCTTGATCCCCAATCAGAGTGAGGGTTAACTCGACTACAAATAAGTACTGTACTGCACATCAGTATCTGTTTTCTACGTTGCGCGAGTTACCTAAAAAGAAGTGCGTATCTAAAAAGAAGTCCCCATTATAGGTCATCGTTTTGTTACCATCTAGCAGATAATAATCTGCTACCTGTGGTACTACAGCGAAATGTAATTTGAACTCACTATTTCCAACTCATGTGCTAATTTCGTCATGATACCTCATTGATGGATGATCCCCATTTTTAATTCCCCAACATTTACTTCTTTAGTACGCTGGTTATTTCCGACGGTTAATGTATTTTAAATTATTTTGAGAATGTATGGTGCGTTGGCGACAGAAGATTGAAGGATTCTGAAAATATTTAAAATTTATGAGTATTCACATGCGGTGCTGAAGGCATCCTTTGAATTTCAGCGGTTTTATTTTTACATGCTTCAGCACTACAGTATACTGTAGCATTATTTCATCATAGATTCTGAAATACGATGTGGAATTCGTTGAAAGATTTCATCAATATCTTCAAAATCGAATGAAATAATCGACGAACGAATATTTTTGAGAGCATATTATCGAAAGCAAGAAAAGTGTGCTACTTGAATGTTTCTGCCCTAGCAAATGATTCAGCCACTTTATAAAGTTTAATGTGAAATGTCCCATCTGGATTTCCTTATCCATTGCGCGGAAGGGTAAAAAATGGTAAATCTCACTGAAGTTGAAGATAATGACCTAGAATTTTGACTTACAGTAGTTCTGTCTGCGGAACATGGACAGAAAATTGTTCCACAGATATAAAAAAATGTTCACAAAAATATGTGATGCATATTGATTGCTTGTACAGTACAAGAAATAAAAACTGAGTTTTCTCAAAAGTATATGCATTGATTGCTACTTTTACTCAATTATTCATGAACAATTTCTGCTTGAAAAGTCAGAAATTCATTCAACTGGACAATACTCAATATAAATACATATTGTAATCTGCAGTAAGGATGAAATTTCTCCGGTTTTCACAAGTGAATATGTTCATTACGCTGCCAATTGTAAGACGGTCTTCCATGGAAGCCTCCTATTATTGGATGGAGTTAATAATAATTTCGATGTTGCTTTTGATATTTGAGGCTCGTTTCAAGCAAAAAATATTCCGTATAATAATAATAATAACAACGTTCGTTCGAGGTGTTATATAGAGAAGTTTTCGCCGATATTTCATTGAAGGCAGGTTGAGCTGTATTGAAACTGCTGGGCCCCGCATGTGGAACAATGGTTCGAACGCGAGGAACAGCTGCGCTTCCGAACTCCAGTTTCCCGTCTGCAGTACAGTACAGTACTGTACCGTGCTATCATGACGTCATTCGGGCGTCCTCCTGTATACTGCCGCTACGTTGAAGGATGTTGACACAAGCGCTGTGGTTCACGACGACCGATATTACAGTATTCTGAATTTCTATTAGCCGCATGGTTGAGTGATTTCTCTAGTTTCCTTCTGATACAAGAAGTGGTATTCTTCATCCCGCGGTACGTTACGCATAATTCCATGTTCCCGTGTCGAAAGAGTGGCATCCGAACACGTCAACGCCCAAGTTTTATATTGAGATTTGACTCTCAGCAATTCACGTCCTGTCGTTCTCGACCAGCACTTGAGAAACAGGATAGATCCTGTTTCAAAAAGATAAACACATGTGACTTTCATAATCAGACTCACTTTTCTTCTAGTAAAACCCTTACTTCGAAAGAGAAATCCATTAAAAATGCCTTCAAACTTCGATGACCAGATTCATTATTCTCATGACGGGAGAGAAAAAGTGGAAGCTCTTACGTGTGTTGTTTAGCGATTGCAGAATGTTCGATTATTTGTCATTATATATGTGTAGACGAATGCGGAATGACGCTCAGCATTGATAACCGACGAGGAGGAGGTCTGAAACGGATTTATCAAACTTATTCCCCATTTTTGACCAGACGAAAACAACAAACGCAGAATTTTTATAAAGAAAGAAATCGCAACCATCGTATGTGCTTCACGATCACCAAGGCAATATGCTCCTGACGTTTCATTTCCTCAATAAATTAATTATTCACCAAAAGAAATCTTGAAATTTTTTTTACATAAATGGTAGGCGAGCATTTATAATTTTTTTCTGCGGAAACAGCCATCAAATTAACCTGCACTGTACTAGCTGTCCTGTTTCAGTTCAAAATGGATTGATTCAGAAAGCATAACCATGAACGTGTCGAAGATTCTGACCTTTATTCACGGAAGTGTCAGCATGTCTGGTATGAAATGATTTACAGCCATTCCTTTCACATTTGAAAATGAATGGGAGTTGACAGTTCTCAAGAAAAATTGATTTGGCCGGGTGAGCAATGTGGCTCTGCATATTAAGTGCTCAGCAGACACTTCGCATACACCTTGTGAGGCACTTCCAATCGTCATAGTTTCACTCTCATCTTCAGGAAAATTGCAGCTCTACACCTTTTTGATGCTCCAGCGAATGAAAAAAAACTTCAACCGTCCCTTAATTCAAATTCAAAACCTCTGCAGCTGCTCAAAAGAAATCATCTTCATGAAAACTATCGTACATCATTGAAGGTACCATCCAAATGGTTCATCAGGAACCCTTTAGTTTTATCCATCGAAGACAAAACAAATTATTAATTGACTGAATTTAGGCAGAAATCAAACTCAATACATTTTCAACTGTTCAATACGTAATTTCGTACTTGAATTTATCAACTCCGTGTCGCTAATTTAATTTTTTGGTCACAGTTTGAAATAGTTTCAATGCAAAGAAAACGCTATTAATTCAAAATTCAGCGTACGTATATAAATTGTGAATACAGCACATCAGAATCTCAGATTGAATTCATGTACAATGTGAATTGATATGTACATGTATTATCACTGACTACACTCAGCATTTTTGTTCCTATAGATGTATAGATGATACCAATCTAACTACTCTCTCAAAAGGTGCAAAACCGTCTAAATTCTTCAATTAAGAACATTGATTTTCAGATTCGCCATCAAGCATTCTCGTACATTGTACATTGTAGACCAAGCTTAGAATATAATAATATTTGATAGCATGACTTGTGGTCTCTATATACTGGTGCCAAATTACCCGTCTCGCCTACAGTAGTTCAAAATTCCAAATGTTGTACCATAGCCTGTACTGCAATGCAAATGAAAAAATAAATCAGGAATCTTGCGAGGAAACGAATCGCAGGAATCTCCAGCAATTCTCAAAGATACTGTGTTACGATTTCGAAAACTATACTGTTTTCCAAATCCAAGTCACGAAAGAAAAATAATTTTTTTTACTAGCAACGAGATTACTCGTCGGACGGAAGTGAGAACTACGTTACTGCGATAAGTCGCAGTCCGAGATTGCCGTTTCAGAACTAGGCTCGGTTCCGGACTTTATTCCAGAGCGCCGGAATTCGCTCAGTCATTTCTAATGAATATCTCGGAAAGAAAATGGGTGATTTCACGTTGCTGCTGCGGCATATCGCTGCGATGTAAACCGGTATGCGTCTGCATTCGCGATTGTGAGCCGCAGGTGTTCGTGTGTCGGTGACGCAAGTGTCGATTGACT